CTGTCGGCCTGTGTGACGTGCAGTGGGCACTGCATTCTCGTCGTGGCTTGGCTCCTGAACGGGCGGTTGTCGTGTTGGCAGTGCCATGCGGCCTTGTGCCACTGCAGCAGAAGCACCGATGTGCCGTCTCGACATGTGTGAGATGGCCGAGTTGCTAGTGCGTGCTAGTATAGGCTTGGGCGGGTTTGCGACAAGGCCGTGGGCTGATATCTGACTCCATCTGATACCGCCGCCGCCGTCTGTACAGTAAGTCCGAGAAGCAGAGCAGCACGAGGGCGCGGGCGGGCGGGGGGGGGGGGGGTGTATACCACTGTGTATGTGTGCATATATATGGATGGATGGATGGATGGATGGATGTGCATGCATGCCTGCAGCCCCAACACACGCGCAGCCCACTCCCGAGGGCAGCAGGGCGGCGACAGTAACCCCACACATGCCCTGGCTGACACGACGACGACTCAACCATGTGCCTGTTGCTTTCGCATACAGCGCTTCCTGTAGCCGTCCGATGAGCCCGCCCAAAGTCAGGCCGCGGCACAACGGTATTAGCCAGTTGGGCGGCGCGTCCATGAGCTATACATGGCTCCCGTTCTTTGGTCCTCACGCTGCCTGCCTGCCTGCCTGCCTGCCGGCCGAGCCCATGCTTCGGCTCAGTCGCCTCCCTCCCTCCCTCTTTCTCTCTCTCTTCCTTTTCCCCCCCACGCCCTTTGAAGCTTGCACAGTGCAACGCCGTCCGACGACTGCAGCGACCGCATCGCAGACACATTCCCTGCCCACCCAGCCCCAACTGCCACTGCCTCGGCGGCCCCGCGAACCTGGCGATCCCGCCGCCAGCGGGCGTCGATGGCCAGCATGCACGCGCCACACTCCACCACGACAGATGCCACAACGCCGCCGCCGCCGCCGCTGCCGCTTGCTGCCCACCCAGCCCCGGCTGACTGCCCTCACTCGCCCGATGCTCTGGCTGCTGCCGTGACGCTCGCGACACTGTCCGACTCCAGCCACGGTGACCATGACACTGCCCACGACCACGGCCATGACGATCAAGACGTCGACGACGACGACGCAGATGACAATGGGGGGATATCATTAGTCGGCCACCACCACTACTTCATGGAAGCCATGCCACCATCACACGACACGGATGCCGACGACGACGACCATGTGTCGGTCGATCTACACATGCACGAATTCCTTTCTCAAGTCCACTCCGTCTACGCCGCATACCAGCCCTTTGAACTATTTGAACCCTCGAGCGCGCCTCACCTTACCTCTACCACCCATATACCCACCTCGCCCGTCTTCATGAGCCATCTGTCTAGCGGCGACCCTGCACTCGAGCCGCCTCCCACGCTCAACGAACCCTATCTGAGCATCCAGGACAAGGGCGCATTCTGTCCCATCACCTCCTACTTCCACCACTACTTCAACTCGGACAAGGTCATTGTTCCTGGCCTCGACCTCATCCAGGTTCCAAGGACCATTACCAGGGACGACCTCCAGTGCGACCGCTATGATTACCAGGGCATCGACTGGGAGGCGCGCAAGACAATGCGCTCGGCGATTCGAGAAGCACGTTTTGAGTTTGAGAGTGGGAAGCTGTCGCCTGGCCTGAAGCAAGTTCGAAAGGTAATGCGCTCCTTTCTGCCTCGTCGTTTCCCCTAACACATTCCAGAACATAACTTCCACGCCCAATACAGACGTCTTCTTTAAGTTTGCAAGGATCAACACTGCTCCTCGCGCCTTTGTCCCTCATTTCCAGCTGCGGAACGTCTTGACAGCAACATCTCGCAATGACATCTATTACGCCTATGGCCATCGTGTCTTTCGTACAGACGCCGAAGGAAGCCCTGCAGATGTCGTTGTAGACCTCAACAAGCGCATAGCTTCCGACGGCTCAATAACGACCATTGCTTCCCAAGACAACGTCCTCATTGCTGGCGCTTTCGAGGGCGAGTATTCAATCACTGACCTCTCTTCTACGTACGGGTCGCCATGCACGTTTGGCCGTACCACAGACTATGCAGCAGATACAAAATCACGGATAGTCAATCACATGCATCTCTTCCATTCACGGCGAACCTACGCTCCGCAGGCTGCACTGTGTTCAAATGACCATCGCCTGCGCCTCTTGGACTGCGCCACAAACACTTTTACAAACACATTTCTCTATCCGGCTGCCGTCAATTGCTCGGCCACTTCGCCCAACGGACGAATGCGTGTAGTGGTTGGGGATTTTCAAGAAACGCTCATCACAAATGCTGAAACAGGCGAAGCATTTGAAACGCTAAACAGCCATGCAGATGATGCGTTTGCGTGCGCATGGGCAGACGACGGTATCCATGTTGCGACGGCAGCACAAGACTCCACCATTGTCGTCTGGGACGCACGTTACTGGCGGGAGCCGCTCGCTGTCATGAAGAGCGAACTCGCCGTCCCGCGATCCCTGCACTTTTCGCCCATCGGCTCTGGGCCCCGCATTCTCGTGGCTGCCGAAGCCGACGACTACATCAATGTCATCAACGCGCAGACGTGGGAGTCGAAGCAGGTTTTCGACTTCTTTGGGCCCATTGGCGGTGCGTCTTTCACACCCGACGGCCAGTCGCTTTTCATTGCCAATGGCGAAAAGCGGTTTGGTGGCATCATTGAGCTGGAGCGTGCGGGCTGGGCAGGCCAGACGGCTCGGCGCAAGAGCTTCGAACACGATGTGTGGGACGATGTCACAACCGACTGGATGCATGGCGATGCGCTGGGCGATTGTGCAAGAGTACAAGGCGGCGACGTCGCGAGACGGCGACGCCACGTCGATTTAAGCCATGTTGTTGTATGACATGAGCACTGTAGATGAACAGACTGGAGGGAAGACGAAAATATCTGGAGACCATTTTCGTCCATGATTCTCTTCTCAAATCACTAACAATATTTTGGGTATCCTTGGTTTGGATATGGGGAAGAAACAGAGCAACTGGACTCTCTCTCTCTCTCTCTTCGATCCATGTAATGTTATTTCCCTTTGTTATTTTATTTTTCTCTTCTCTTCTCATCTCATTTCTCATTTTACCTTCAGGGTTGCTGACAATGGCAAATTTTCGCATGGAAGGGGTTTTTTGAACAAAAAAAGGATGATACCACGATTGGCAGCATCGGGCATGTTGAGCCATTTACATGTCGTACTTGGTGTCAACTTTATTAAACACACACACACACACAAGACAGTAAGACAGGAGTTGGGATTTTGGGTTGATTGATTGATATCTGGTGGGGGGGGGGGGGAATTAAGGATGAGAGATATGACATTGGAGAGAAATGGTGGTACTTAACACAGCGTAAAATTGAATTTTGGAGGGTTGAAAGTTTGAAAAAGGTAGGATGCTTAGGTATGACAAGAAGAGGTGGGAATACTTGGCTACAATAACGGGAGCACAACAACGTCCATATGCAAGATGTGTGTATCTGTGTATCTGTGTGTGTGTGTGTGTGTGTGAAGATAGTTGAAAAAAAAACTCCCCAAATGCAAGCAATGCAAATTGCTCCAAACGAGGAGGAGAAAGAAGAGAAGAAAAATCAAAATCAAAATCTAAGCTGAGTGCGACAATGACTCGAGAACTGAAAAAGCATGCATGCTGCCGCTATTCAGACAAACGTTACACAATTCTTACACATTTTATGCCATGTTACCCCAGATCTTCTTACTTTATTAGTGCTTACTTAATTTGGACTTGATATTACAGACTTGGGTGGACTTTTGGTTGGTTGGTTGGTTGATTGAGGTGAGGTTATGGGGTCTGTGCTAAAGTGTAAGTAACACACCCCTGCATGTGGCAGTGCAATCACAACTGTGGCTTGTAAGCATGGCTGAAGATATGAAACATGCAAATGGGGCAAAGTGGAAGCATGCAAGTGGCAAATTCTGACATGCCGAATATGCATTGAATTCTGAAAAGACACAAAAAAAAGAGGCCAAAGTACATTCTGTACAGCCCGAATCCACACCCCCTTTCCATCTAGCATTCGGTAACTTGGGCAAACCTCACATCTCAGCGAAATGCAACAAAAAATCATACATTGATTGGCTTGCAGAATGTACACACTACCGGTCAACTTCGCCAAACACCAGGTCCATGGTTCCAATAATGGCCACCACGTCGGCCAGCAAATGGCCTCTGGAGACTTGGTCCATGCACGCCAAGTGTGCAAATCCAGGAGCCCGAATCTTGCACCTGTATGGCCTCTCGCTACCGTCCGAGACAATGTACACACCCATTTCTCCCTTGGGCGCCTCAATGGCAGTGTACGTCTCACCTGGAGGAACCGTGTAACCCTTGCTGAAGAGCAAAAAGTGGTGGATCAGAGCCTCCATGTTCTCCTTCATGGCAGCACGTGGGGGAGGAGCAATCTTGTAGTCCTCAACCTTGACAGGTCCAGCGGGCATCTGGTTCAAGCATTGGTGGATGATGCGAAGAGACTGACGGAACTCCTCCATGCGGCAGAGGTAACGGTCGTAGCAGTCACCGTTGACACCAACGGGAACGTCAAACTCGACCTGGTCATAGGCGTCGTATGGCTGAGACTTTCGCACGTCCCATGGAACACCAGATCCTCGAAGCATCACACCGGTGAAAGAGTAATTGATGGCGTCGGCAGCTGGGACAACACCAACGCCCTTGGTACGGCCAATCCAGATACGGTTGTCTGTCAACATCTCCTCTGTCTCGTCAACGCGGTCGCCAAACTGCGTGGCCCATTGGTAAATGTCATCAAGCAGACCAAGAGGGAGATCCTGTGAAACGCCACCGGGGCGGATGTAGGCTGCGTGCATACGGGCACCAGAGACACGCTCGTAGAATTCCTGCTCGACTTAGCACGTGCACATGATCAATTTCATGCTCTTCATCGACATACCATGAGCTTCTCACGCTCCTCAAAACCCCACAAAAAGGGCGTCAGAGCACCGACGTCCATTGCGTGAGACAGGACAGACATGAGGTGGTTCAGGATGCGCGTGATTTCGGCAAACATGGTGCGGATGTACTTGGCACGAAGGGGAATGTCAATGTTGAGCAGCTTCTCGACAGCCAGCGAGTAGACCTGCTCGTTGGTCATCATGGAGACATAGTCGAGACGGTCAAAGTACGGCAGCGCCTGGAGGTATGTCCGGTATTCAATCAGCTTCTCTGTGCCTCGGTGCAGCAGACCGACGTGCGGGTCGGCGCGCACAACCTCCTCGCCGTTGAGTTCGAGAATCAGACGCAACACACCGTGGGCAGCCGGATGCTGGGGACCAAAGTTGACTGTGTAATGCCGGATCTTCCTGGTGTCTACTTGGTCGTCCTCCTCCGCCCGGGTTTCCTGGGCCGTCTCGGTGGGTGCGACGCCTGCAAAGTTGGAGTCGGTCGGAACCAATCGCGTCCGCTGGCTCTCGTCGACTTGGGCGTATCGGCGGGGGAGCGACGTCGACAGGCACCGCGCAATGGGTCGTGAAGGGAATCCGGATCGGAGCTGGGGGCGGGCGGCGTTCAGGCATGCCCGCTTGGCGGCGGGACCGGCCAGACGCGCAAAAGAGACGGGCATGGTGATTCTGGCTCTCTCTCTACGACGATTGCGGGGCCTCAATGGGCGTGTAGAGTGGAGAGCGAGGGCGTGGCGTTGGAGGGGAGCTTTCCTCGCATCGATGATGCTACCAGATTGAGCCCGCCGCTATTGGCTGTCCGGGCCTTGGCGCCGCCGCGGCCTGCTCGAACTTTTTGTGAAGGCGCAAAGTTACTACCCACCTCCAACTCCAAATCTTGAACTCGACGTCGCAACAATGTCGACACCAAGCGCACAAGAGCTGATGAGGCGCAAGGTACTTATGCGACCCAGACTACGCAAGCAGAAACATTCTAACAGGACTTGCAGACGCTTCAAGTCGGCCCAGAGACTGTCATGAACCAGCAGTCGACCGACTTTCCGGGACATTGGCCGGGCGAGAACCACGAGTGGGACCTGGATTACTTCAAAGAGGTATGCGCAATCGATTATTTGCCAAGCATCGCCGGTGCTGCCATTACACGCTGCGGTTCAGCTGATACTTTGTAGAACTTCAATGTCACTTTTCACAGCCATAGCCCCAACGACACACAATTCTCTCTCACGTGCATTGACACCTCGGTGGCCAACGCGTTCCGCCGCATACTCCTCGCCGAGATCCCTACGCTTGCCATAGAAGACGTCTTTATTTACCAAAACACGTCCATTATCCAGGACGAAGTGCTGGCCCACCGCCTGGGCCTGATTCCCTTGTGCGGCGATCGCGAGGGCTTGCGCTGGATGAAATGGTACTCCAAGCCCACGGAAGAGAACCCGGGCTCGGGCGCACCGACCGACTACAACACTGTGGTACTGAGGCTGGAAGTCGAGTGTAAATGGCAAGAGGGAGGTCTGCAACGAGCAGTCGCGGGCGAAACGGACCCCGACAAGCTCTACGTGGGCCACAACGTTTACGCCAAAGACATAGTGTTTAAGCCCACCGGCCGCCAATTCGATATCTTCTCCCCTGAGGAAGGAAAGGAAATCCGCTCTACCAACCCCGACATCCTGATTTGCAAGATGAGGCCCGGCCAGAGCATAAACCTGAGCATGCACGCCATCAAGGGAATCGGACAGGACCACGCAAAGTTTTCGCCGGTAGCAACGGCTTCATACCGCCTCATGCCTACAATCGACATCACCAAGCCTATTATCGGTGCCGACGCCAAGAAATTCGCGCGCTGCTTTCCCCGCGGCGTGATTCGCCTGGACACGGTTACGGCGGCCGACGTGCAGCAACACGCGGAACTCGAGGGCAAGGAAGGCGAGCCCAAGGCCGTAGTTGCAAACGCCATGAACGACACGGTCAGCAGAGAATGCTTGCGGCACCCCGAGTTCAAGGACAAGGTCAAGCTGGGCCGCATACGGGACCACTTTATCTTCCGTGTGGAGAGCACGGGCCAGTGGGAGAGCGACGAGCTATTCTTGGAGAGCATCAAGCTGCTCAAAATCAAGTGCCAGAGGATCAAGCGGGGATTGGAAGAAATGAACAAATAAGAGACGGTGTCGTGCGACGAATCGGGTGCAAGCATGCATTTTCAAAGGCGTTTCATGGGCATTCATTGGTGGTGGTGGGTTCTCTTTTTTGTTTTTCTTGTGGCTCACATGTCGAAAAGAAAAAAAAGTTTTACGATATCACGGAACAATTTCTTCTCGTCAATTAGATCTACAGCTAATGGCTTGGACGGCCGACACGCAACTTTTCTTCCTTGGAGTTACAATCGGGTACATCATACATTCGTTCAGCATTCTCCCATACTCCTTCTCGTGTGATCCTTTTCAAGGCGCAAGCTGATATAGTACAAAAGCGGTATTGGAACACAAAATATTAGAACAGAAAAAAAGTAAGTTGGACAAGGAAAAATTCATGACAAGAAGGTGGGTATACGCGCTTCGGTTCCTGCGACACCTTATTGAATCATTCAATAGGTGAGACCAAACATGCTGGATAGTCGACTCTGCGAGTCGTGTAGTCGTCCAGCGTCTACTAGATCTCGTCAAGTGCATCATCGCACAGCTTGCGTATGCTCCGAGGGTCAAACCTTGGGCGCCAAACCATCTCTCTTCTTCTCTTGTGCAAAGCTTCTTTTTGATCATCCGACAGATCACTGGGTCGCCAAGATCTAGCCTGCTGCTTGGTGGGCGTAGACAAGGGTGAGGGAATGCCAAACTTGGCTCCACGAACCCCCGTGTTCTCCTTCAGGTTGCGAACACTCTCGAGGTGACCTTGCAGCATATCGACAAAGCTGGATGTGTCGGGTGGAAGCTGGGGTGGAAGTTGGGGAGGTGCCGCTGATTTGGGTCGCACAATTTGGGTCGATATAGATATGAGCATGCCGCTTCTGCGGCTGGATCCTGCAGGAAATTTGGTAGTAGGTGTCGGTTCCACATCCTCATCCTCATCAGGTGGCGTCGGGAAAGAAAGCCTCTGGAGCGCGAGATCAAGATGTTGCTCGCGGCTAATGGCCTCAGACAAGGTGCTTGACGCCGAAGTACGATACGAGACATAGGATGTTGCTTTCAGGCGGCGCAGCCATACTGATTCTTCTGGAAACGTGACCGAGTCGGGCGTGGACGGTTGGTCGTCGTCCAGGCTTGGAGTCGAGCAAGGCGTTATTTGCGGCGAGAGCAGGGCAATGGCAGCACAGTAATACTTTTCGGCAGCAATGAGCTCGCGGTAGCGGTTCTTGAGCGTGGCTTCCCTGGCCAGAATGTCGTGGGACAGCGCAGTGTAGAAATTGAGGTATGCACGGTGCAGGGGATGGGCCTATCAGCTGTCAGTTGATGTTTGATTAGGCCGCGCCGTGGAGTGGCGGCAGCTAAGTAAGGAAGAAAGATGAAGGTTTCACTCACGGTGCTATCCACGTCGGCCAGCAAACGCTCCCCAAATTTGGCGCACTGCGTGTAGTGGCGGCTGATGTACAGATTCTTGAGCGCCTGCATCTTCTGTCTCAGTTCGGCGTGCTTTGGTTCGGCCGGCATGATGCCGAGTATTAATTGTTTCTTGCTTTGGGGCGGTCGTATGTAGATGAAGAGCAGAACGAGGAGAGGAAAGCGTGGCGGGAAAGCAGCTGTAGCCACCCAGTTGCCAGGCGCGACAGGAGCAGGTGGAGAAAGGAGGGGGGCACTTTTATCCAAAGAAGTGAAGTGAAGCCAGCTTCGCGCGATGGGGAGGGGGGGCTGGCGGCAGTTGCTGACGTCGTATAGGCGGGCAGGAGGATAGTAAGATGAGACAATGCAGCGAGGCACGCATATAACACGCAGGATAATGGCCGAGGTTGGCAGCAATGCTCGTTGCTCTGGTTGCAGTCGACTGCAGAGGTGACGCTTCAGGGTGCAGGGGACATGCCTGCTCTCTCTCCAATGATGACAGAAAACGGGGGCTACTGCCAGAGCACCCTAGGACAACAGTGCGAACGGCGACAAGAGGGAGATATGGGCGCCTCGCACACGCCATGGCCCTATATACCAGATGGGCGGGGGCACTGGGGACGGGCACTGGGCCATGTCACTTGAACAGGTGCAGGAGGCGTGCGAGGGGCGAGTGTTTCTGAAGGTGCATGCGTGTTTCACGCGCTACGTATACTTGGCCGTATGCAGCTCGACGCTTACCACGGCGGGCCAGGCACCACAGCAACCAGGGCAAGAGCGGCCAGGAACAGGCACGCGCAGGGCAGGAACAGGCGGGTAGTGCGCAAACACCCCGTGACCCCTCTTCGCTAACACAAACGTTTGCTTGCGGTGGCCTCGCCAAAATAGCCGCAGAACCCGAGCCTGCAGGTGGCTGCATCCGGACGACGCCCCTACTCAAACCTCCGCCGTATCGGTGTTTCTAGTTTTGCCCGATCACGCCTGCGCCCAACTGCCGCCAAGTGCGAGCTGCCGGGGGAGTGCTCGTTCTCATCACGGCACTTGTGTCTGGAGCCGAGTCGATCGGCAGCATTAATGGCCTCACGGGTATATGGCATGACTAAGTGCGACACGCGCGCAGTCAAGCACTCAAGCAGGCAGGCAGGCATGACACAGGGCGATACGTGAATGCGGCAACCGACTTTCCCACCACCGGGCTGATACACGAGAGCTATGAACACATTGATATTCTACACAGCCCGCCCACAGAAGGCACAGGGTGCCACATGTTCGGCATATCAAAGTCTAACCCTCGTCGAGCGCTTAGCCCTCGGAAGCCGCCGCACCAGTAATGATCTCGACGAGCTCACCGGTAATGACGGCTTGACGCGTTCGGTTGTACAGAATCTGGAACTTGTTGATCATCTCGCCCGCATTCTTGGAAGCATTGTCCATGGCGTTTTGGCGCGCAGACTGCTCGCAAGCATGGCCCTCAGCCAGCGCCCAGAAGAGCGAGTTGGCAAGAGCGTACTCGCGGAGGTTGGGGAGCACCTCGTCCTCAATCTCGAACGCAGAGAAGTTGGCTAGGTATCAGGTCAGCACACCACCCACTGCCTTGCAGCACACTCGACATACCGGACTGAGCAATGGCCTCCTCGGAGTAAGCCTCTTGGATAATGGGCTCGTAGCTTGTGGCGTTGATGAACTTGTTGTAGACAATCTTGATCGAGGCGTAGTCGGTGGGGAGCATCGAGATCTGGTCGGCAATGCACAGAGAGTCGGCAAACGTGGGCACGTCCTTTCCGGCACCCGCAAAAGAGAGGACCATGTTCTTTCCGTTGGAACGGCCCAGCTGCGCCTTGCACTTTTCGCCAATGACGGCCAGGTCCACATCCGGGTTCTCAGCGAGCATCCTCCTGACCTTCCTCGACATTCCAGAGTGGATACCACCGCAGAGACCCTTGTCAGAGCTGCAGACAACGACGAGGCTCTTCTTGCCCTCGTTCTCAATTGGCTTGGTCTCGGCGCTCTCGAAGACTTGGTTCGACGTCTGACCGTACCTGCGGGACTCGGTCATGGCCTTCTGGGCGCGGGTGAGCTTGGTCGAGGCGACAACTTTCATCGTCTTGGTGATCTTTTCAATGTTGCGAATCGACTTGAGGCGGCCCTCAATTTCACGGAGAGTGGCATAACCGGCGGCGTTGGTGGCGGTAAGGGCAGCAGGCCTAGATATACAAGTTTCAGTCAGCATTGGATGCAGTTGGCGATGCAATTGATCCGGCAATGGGGGGGTTGCGAGGTGCGAGAAAAGCTGCCAATTGGGGCGGAAGCGTACCGGGCGGCGGCGGCGGCCATACCAGCCCTCAGAGCCGGGCGCGCAGCTCGTGACAGCATCATGGCTACGAATTGAGATGAGTGGAGATGGCGACAGCCGTGGGGTGGTGCTCTTCACTGCTGTCTTTGCTGAGCGGAAGCTGGGTCGGGCAATCGGGGATGCTGAATTGCTTTGCGCGCTAAGGCGCCAAGCGTCACGTGTGGCTCCCCAGCACACAATGCCCAAGTCACCACTCGTACTCGGACATTTTGCGCGCAGATAAGAGCCTGACAACAGTGGAATATTCTATATCTCGCGCTGCTCATTTCGCAGGCCGTCGAGCAGGTCTAGACTCGGTCTGGTGGCACGACTCAATTAGCTGGACATAGGCACGATCGATCAAACGAACAGGTGGCAAGCATGACCCAAGCCTCATGGTATCAGTTATTGTCTCAAGGGAAAAAAAAGCCGAGCGTGCGTCCGTCTTCAGCTCTCTCACTCGCGCTGACAAGCCGTCAGCAGCGTACCAGCGAATGCACCAGTGACGTTGTGCATATAGTAACTTGTAGAAGGTGACGGACCCAGATTTGGTGAAGGCCGAACGACCGTGCGTTGGTGGACTTAGCAGCAGTGATCGCAAGTGGTGGCTCCTTGGGGCTGCGCTTCACTTAAACTCAGCATTCCTCTTTTTTCCGCTCATCTACCGCCCACGCCTCTTCGCTCCTTCCTTCCTGCCCTCCCCCCCTTCCTCCACCATCGCCTCACTCGTACTGCGGGTCTGCTGCCGTCAGGCACGCGTCTCTCCACCATTACTGTCCTCGTACAGGACCGCCTCTTCTGCTTCCGCAAGATCCACCCGATTCGCGCCAAACCCTGCTGAATGCACACGCCCTTCGTACCGCCTGCGAGTCAAGCGCGCGCCGATTGCTGTTGCAATGTCGTCTTCAGGCGACGACACTCCTCTGGTGAGGGGAAGCGACCAAGGTGAGCTGATCCACGAAAGCGCTTTCTGCACGCGCTACGGCTATCTCACTCTCACGCGCCGATCGCCCTTGTGGAATTCTACTCTACCCTCTCACCACCCAGCCTCCCAACACCCTTCCACCCTCGGCCCGCTCCCCTTTGCCTTCATTTGACACAATCCGCACCTCGCGCCCACCGACTAAATAACGCTAACAACAATCGCCTTACAGCAAAGTCTTCCGCGAAAATCACAAAGGAGGAAGATAGGAAGATGAACGCCGAAATACCATCCAACGGCCACGTGGAGCCTGGCATCTCGATCCGCATGGGCCCTATCGATGAGAGCAAGATGGATGTCGATGCGCCCGAGACGAACGGCAACACCAACGGAAAGCGCAAGGCGCGCACGAGCGTAGCGAACAGCAAATCGTACAAGGATGCAAGCAGCTCAGAGGATGACGACAAGCCTTTGGTATGTCGTTCTGTGCAAATGTCATGCGCAACGTACTAAACTAACGGTGCAGCAGAGCAAGCGACGGCGGACGTCACAGCAATCGAAGCCCATCAAGGACGAGTCTGACTCGGAACTCAGCGACGTGCCTCTCAAAGCCAGGGTGCCCCCCAAGGCGACCGCCGCACAGATTGGCGAGTCGGCAGACTCTGATGTGCCCCTAGCTACGAAGCTCACGAAAAAGAAGGAATCCATCGAGAAGGCTGCCGCGAAGGAGGCAAAGGCGATTCGTAACAAAGAAAAGGCGCCTCCAAAGCGTAAGCAAAAGGTGGAGAGCGACAGCGACGAAGATGTTCCTCTTGCGAAGAAGAAGGCCCCGGCAAAGAAGTCCAACGGCGTCAAGAAAGATGAATCTGATTCGGATGCTCCCCTTGCCAAGAAGGCGGCTCCAAAGAATGCCAAGGCTAAGGCAGCTGCCGCAGCACCAGCAAAGGGCAAGGCCAAAGTAAAGAAAGAGACGGAGCAGGACGAGGAGGCTGCAGAGGAAGAAGACGAGTACCGCTGGTGGGAGGACCCAGGCAAGGGCGATGGCACCAGGAAGTGGGAAACTCTTGAACACAATGGTGTCGTCTTCCCCCCCGATTACGAGCCGCTGCCCAAGAACGTCAAGTTGATCTACGATGGCATACCTGTCACGCTGCACAAGGACGCCGAAGAGGTGGCCACCTTCTACGGAAGCATGCTCAACTCTACGCACAACGTCGAAAATCCCACATTCAACAAGAACTTCTTTGAGGACTTCACTGCCATCTTGGACAAGACCGGGCACGGCAAGGACAAGAATGGCAACACGGTCAAGATCAAGAAGTTTGAAAAGTGCGACTTCAAGCCGATTTTTGAGTGGTTTGACGCTGAGCGTGCGAAGAAGAAGGCGCTCTCGGCGGCAGAGAAAAAGACACTCAAGGCTGAGAAGGAGGCTGCAGAGGCACCGTACATGTACTGTGTATGGGACGGTCGCAAGCAAAAAGTTGGCAACTTCCGCGTTGAACCTCCTAGTCTGTTCCGTGGTCGTGGCGAGCATCCCAAGACGGGCCGTGTCAAGAAGCGTGTCATGCCTGAGCAAATCACCATCAACATTGGTGAGAATGCCAAGGTTCCCGAGCCTCCAGCGGGTCATCGTTGGAAGGAGGTTAAGCATGATCACGAGGGTACATGGCTGGCCATGTGGCAAGAGAACATTAACGGGGCGTATAAGTATGTCATGCTTGCTGCCAACTCGGACATCAAGGGTCAGAGTGACTACAAGAAGTTTGAAAAGGCGCGCGAACTCAAGAAGCACATCGACCGTATCCGTCAGGACTACCGCAAAGATCTCAACTCCAAGATGATGGCGGATCGCCAGCGTGCTACGGCCATCTACCTGATTGACCAGTTTGCGCTCCGTGCTGGTAATGAAAAGGGAGAAGATGAAGCCGACACGGTGGGCTGCTGCTCGCTCAAGTTCCAGCACATTACGCTTCGGCCTCCGGAGACGGTCATCTTTGATTTCCTAGGTAAGGACAGTATTCGGTTCTATGATGAAGTCAAGGTGGATCCTCAGGTGTTCAAGAACCTGAAGCTGTTCAAGAAGGAGCCCAAGACGACGGGCGATGATATTTTTGATCGCTTGACGACGTCGGCTCTCAACAAGCATCTCACCAGCTACATGCCTGGCCTTACTGCAAAGGTGTTCCGTACCTACAATGCGTCCTACACGATGGCGAGGCTGCTCAAGAACATGAAGGCTACTGGATCTGTTCAAGAAAAGGTCAAGGCGTACAATGATGCGAACCGTGAAGTTGCGATTCTTTGTAACCACAAGCGTACCGTTGCTGCCAGCCACGCGACATCGATTGAGAAGATGCATGAGAAGGTTAGTAGTGCTGTTTGCCGTGTGCTATGGGTGATACTGACATGGGTAGATTAATGGTCTTCGCTATCAAGTGTGGAGGACCAAGATGATGATGCTTGACGTGGACGCAAAGATGAAGAAGAGGAAGGGTGCCGAGTTCTTTGAGCGACCAGAGGATCTGGACATGGAGTGGGTCAAGCAACATCAGGAGGCGGAGGTGGAAGAGCTGCGGCAGAAGATCATCAAGAAGTTTGAAAAGGACAACGAGAAGCTCAAGGCGGACGGTGAGCGGGAGATGAAGCCCAAGGAGCTGGAAGAACGCCTCGAAAAGGCTTCGGAACTGGCGGCCAAGTACAAGAAAGAAAACAAGACGGGCAAGGTCGAGGCCGAGGGCAAGGGCCCGACGATTGAAAAGCTCGAGGGCAACCTGGACAAGCTCAACCAGCGCATTGAGAATATGAAGATCCAGATGGAAGACAAGGAGGGCAACAAGGAGGTTGCCTTGGGAACATCGAAGATTGTAAGTGGATGGGATGTGGATGTGGCGTGGAGCGAGTTGCTGACTTTGGACAGAACTACATTGACCCGCGTCTTACGGTGGTCTTCTCGAAGAAGTTTGACGTGCCGATTGAAAAGTTCTTTTCCAAGACGTTGCGGGAGAAGTTTGACTGGGCGATCAAGTCGGTGGATGAGAACTGGGAGTTCTAGGGCCCGAGAACAGCAGGCTTGGCAGGTGGGCATTTCGATTCGTCTTCGGACATATTCATAGGGCTGCATGGGACGTGGACAGCATTATGAGTGGTGGGACTTTTGGGCGATGTGAGGCGAAAAAGCATGGCATTTATTTTATGCGAGTTTTGTACGTGAGTGAGGTGGGCGGAGGGAATTTTTCTGGGGAGATATTCTGCATGACGAGATATATATTTGACATAGTAGGAATGATGTAGCGTGCCACGAGGGTGGATGGAATAAAGGCCATGTGCTCGAGTGGTGAAGGATGCATATGCAAGTGCGGGTCGATCATGACGGCGTGCAGCTTCCGTGCATGAACGGCGGTTCTTGCTGCGAGGCACAGTGTGGGTGTCCAAGGTAGTCGTCATTGGGGATGGGGGGTTTATACATGTAATATGGACATGGATGGGTTTGGGCGCTTGTGCTTGTGCCTGCATAGCAGCGGGAGGGCATGAGGTATCCAATGAAGAGAGGTCCCACAGGCTCTATTTTTGTGCTGGGTTGCATGGACGCACAGATGACGGGACAAGTTGTGCTGTGTGTGTGTGTGTGTGTGTGTGTGTATGTACTAGTTGATATGTCCAAGGGGCCCGGAGAGGCGGCAGGATTGCGTAGGCCAGGCGCTTGTGGGGGGCTGGAGGCGTCTTGGGCGAGTGCATTAATATTCAGTCGAGGCACTTTTTGCAGTGGGATGGGTGATTAGTACCTACTTGGTGGGTGAAATGACGGCCAGGTGATCAGCAGAGACGGTCCGCGGAGCACAGGGGGGGCCACTGGACTACTGTAGATACGACGACGGTCATCATGCAGGTCCGACGTTGAGTAGAACATGACGGGTCCCCCACCCCCCTGGCGGGTGTTTGCGCCTCAACCAGGGCCGGCCTGGCAGAGAGGCCCAACGTCCATGTGCCAGGGGAGGGAGGGGGGCAAGGTGAAGGGGACATTGGGGACATTGGGGACGTTGGGGACCTGCCCCTGAGAAGCGCTTCCTCATCGCCCGTTGCTCGTCCTCGGCCACCCCACCCCCCACTTTGGGCAGTCATGCGGCCCAGTTGTTTAGTCTCTAGACAGCAGTGTGTACATGTGCATGTACATCTGGAGACAAGGTCCAGCACGGCGGGAGCGTGCCGTCCTTTTTTTTTCCCACCGCCCGCTGGACTGGTGTACATCTCCCGCCGCAACCGCCTCGCGCTCGCCGGCGGGCACAAAGACCAAGGGGCCATGGCAATGCCGTCAGAGGCCGTGTGACGTGACGTGATGTGATGTGACGGCCCGTGGGCACTATGTAGGTAATGCCGTATGGGCGCGTGTCTGCATACAGGACATGGATAGGGTAGCATGTAGCTGGTGCTGGTGCTGGTGCTGGTGCTGGCTAGTCGTGGGGGTGAGTTGGCGTCAGCCACAAGTCCAAGTGCATGCTGCGCTCTCTCCGCCCCCCCAATACGAAATGTCTCGCGGATGACTCTGGCTCGCAGCAAAGCGCTCCTCACACTCATCGGCCTGACTTGCCCTCGCCTGCGGGTCAATGAGTCGCATAGTGGGCCAGGGTTATATGACATCGTTGTTGTGCCGTGGGGACCTACCCTATGCTGCGACGGCCGCCCTCTCTCCCTCTGCTCCCCTCGCCAGTTGCCGCCTCCTCCCCCCTCCAGCTCACGCCCACGCTCACGCTCACGCCCACGCCCACGCCCGCGACCATCGCGACAGGCGCCGCACGCGCACGCGCACACGCACACATACGCATCCAGTACACATAGTCACATATACACATCCTCGCCCGCCCCATCACCACGCAGCGGCCACTACCCAGCGTCCTTTTGTCGGTTGAACTACTGCAACCAAAGGTCTGAGCGCTGAGCATTGAGCGCGATCCGCAACGCTCAATCCCCACCCCCGATTTTGACTTTACAAGACACCATCCGCCCACTGCGCCGCCCCCAAATCCCTCGCAGCGACCTCGTTGCGCGCACTCTGTAGAGGCTGATCAGAACACCCCTCTTGCCACGCCCACCATGGCCTCAGACAAGCCTTCGGTCCTGATAATAGGCGGACTGGGTAACGCTGCCTTGCCCACTGCCACTGCCACGAGACACGACGGCTAACCACGGCGGCCTAGGCTACTCCGGACGACACCTTTGCAAGTACCTCCACGACAACAACCTCGCCTCACAGATTCGCATCGTCGACAAACACCTGCCCGAGCTGGCATGGCTTGCACCAGAGTTCAAGGAAGCATGCTCAAGAGAGCGCTTCATCCAGGCTGACGCGGCGCAAGAACGTGCGTATCCCTTGCCCAAGCATCTCCACGTACCCACACACACACACACACACACACACTCGAGCAATTCGACGCTGACTCAACCCCGCAGGTTCTCTTCCTCGCATATTCGACCGTGAAGAAGAGGGCGAGTTTGACTACGTCTTCAACTGTGGCGGCGAGACTCGCTTTTCCCAGGAAGAAAAGGTCTATGAGCTGCGCTCCTACGGCCTCTCCATGGCCATCGGCCGCGAGGCTGCAAAACGCAAAGTGAAATGCTTCGTCGAGGTCAGCAGCGGCATGGTCTACAAGCCCGAACCCACACCCCGCAAGGAGACGGACAAGTTGAAACCTTGGTCAAATCTGGCAAAGTGGAAGCTCAAGGCTGAGGAGGACCTGGCCAAGGTCGAAGGCTTGAACCTCGTTGTTATGCGCATGGCCCATGTCTACGGCCCCTACACGAGCAAGTTTCTGAGCACGGCGCTGTGCATGGCAAGGGTATACCAAAGCAAGGGCAAAGAGCTGCGTTTCCTGTGGAAAGAAGACCTGCGGACAAATCTGGTCCATGTCGAGGACTCGACAAGAGCGCTGTGGCATGTTGCGCAGTGGTACGTCAAAGGACCCCCTGCCCGCCGGCCAACGCCAACTTTCAACATTGTGGACCATGGCGATACTAGTATGTCTCCTTTTTGTTCTTTTTTTTTGCCTCGATTACTCACATTGCTCCTAGCACAAAAACACACAGCACAGATCATAGGCGAGATCTTCAAGATCGAGACGGGCTTCCACGGCACACTCATCTCGGCCTTTGCACGACTAAACCTCGATCATGTTGTTGACGATGTCAATGACGAAACGCTGGACCCGTGGGCAGATCTGCAAGCAAAGGCCGGCATCAGTCAGTCTACACCGCTGACACCCTATATGGAGAAGGAGTTGCTGAAAGATGCTGATCTCTGCTTGGATGGCAGTGCATTCGAGCGGGAAACGGGATTCACGTAAGCTGATAACTCCCTCACCGTGTCGTAATTGGCAGACCAACCACTAACCCCGCATCAGATACAACGTGGAGCGGATTACCAAGGAGAAGGTGGAAGAAGTTATCGAGAGCTACAAGAGGATGGGCTGGTGGCCGTAGCTTTACCGCCCCTCGATCCCCTCCCTTAAGCCCTCAGCCTCTTTTGCCATATCACATTCCAACGATACCCTTTCTTCTTGCCACTGACTCCTTCCTTTCTTTGGCCATCTCTCTCTCCACACACCGCCTTGTTGTTTACTTGGTGTCTCACAGCTCAAGTCATTGCAACTCCCCGACTTTATATCTCTGCTTATACCCCTCATCTGTCTGCAACCAGCCAACCGTTAATGAAAATCACAAAAAAAAACATGTCACAAAACTTGTCTTTTTCACAATAACCTGCTTCTAACCTCCACTACTCTCTCTCTCTCTCCACTTTAGAGGTGGTAGACGGCACTATCAAAAAAAATAAAAGGAGCGTGGGGGGGGGGAGGTAGGTGCTCAGATATTCCAGTGCGGTAGTATCTCCGAGCAAGATGACTTGTGTTCATTCCGGAGGTGGACTTTATTCAAACCTTTTTGGAGGAACATCATGGGGGGGGGTTTTGTTTAAAGGGGCGGTATCTCGATTCCTCTTGATTGGGTCCTCGAAATGTGCTGGTTGACGTCTTTCATCATAGCCATCTATTGCGATATTGCGCGGGGGAAGGGGGGATTTGTATGCATGTACTTGTATGAAGTCTATGCATAGTCGTAGTAGTAGTAGTAGTAGTCCTCTCCTCTTCTTTTTCTAGGGAGCTATCTGATCGAATCTATTTATATCCCGTCATGTCAAGTGCAAAAACTAATGTTTATTGTTGTTGTTGTTGTTGTTATTTTCTGACTGTAGTGAGTTCGCGGTAATTGTCATCATACTGTTGCTCGATTCTGATTCTGATTCCCGATTTCCATTTCGACCATGGTGCTGGAACAATGGCCCATGTAAGTAATATCCTTGCTAATGTAATTTCCAAATCTCAACCTTACGTACATACATGTGCATTGTCCGCCCACTCACCCGGGATTTCGGCATCATTCTTTTCTTGGGCATCGTATTTGCCAGGGGGGTTGGGGGTGTGTGCACTACGGCATGACGAGCAGGATAGCCGAGATAAAGCCAAAGTGTTCGCGCGGGAAACGCAATCAATTCTAGAAAAAAACGCAGATCCCTTCTAGTCCCTTTTTTTTCTTTCGTTCTTTCTTTCTTTCCAAGTCAGCCATGGGACATGAGACACACACAAAAAAAACTGGAGACATAATGAGTTTGATTGGGCCATTTCCCCAGCCTAGGGTACTCTCTACATTGAACGAGCCTGACTATTGCACACTTATATGTAACATTGGACGAACTTGGCCGCGGGATCCTACAGGACGCTTATGCCTTCTTGGAGACAATCTCTAGAAAGTTTGTTAGCTTGTAGTGCTTTGCGCACGGTCGCATCAAAACGTACTCTCAATGTCAGTGACACTCTGGTCAAGAATCTGCTTGAGGGTCTTGGGGTTGTCGAGCTCCTTCTCAATCTTGGCAATGATGGACTCGGCAAGCTCGCGCTGCTGCCTCTGCTTGACTTGGCCCTCGTAGCGGACCCAAGAGTCGAGCACAGACTTGGCCTCGGCGGCAACGGCAGTCTTTTGCTCGAGCTCAAAGGCCTGGGCCTCGAGCTGGGCAGTCTCCTGTGGGATAATGGTCAGCCAACTGCCCCTCCATGTCCAATGTCCAACCAGCGCACCTTGGAAACCTCGAAAAGCGTCTTGGTAACGTCAATGACGCTGCTCAGGTCCTGGACGCTCTCAATGCGCTGCTTGACAGCCTGGGTGTGGTCCTGGCGGGCAGAGTTGAGGATGCCCGAGATCTTGTCCACCTGCTGCTGCGCATAGTCTCCCCATGCCGGACCGGCGTACTTGGCAACGGCCCAGAAGATGGTCAGCAGAGAGAGAGCGACAATCGACTCCTCGTTGACGACGTAGAGCTCGTTGCTGATGGCCGCGACCGAAAGACCGGCTCCGGCGGAGAGCACGGCGGCCTTGGTGAGGGGGCTGTTTCCGGGGACGGGTATCGAGTCGAGGACGGACTGGGCCTTCTTCTTGGGGTCCTCCTGGGGCAGGTTGGAGTTGTAGCGGGCCTGCACGCTGATGGCGCGCAGGGCGCGGAGAGGGAGCGCAGGGCGGAGACGGGCGGCGCCTGTTGTGCGTGAGTATAGGGGCCAATGGCATCGCATCTTCATCTGACAGCTGCTACTCACCGACGGCGCTCCTTGCAAGACGTGAGGCCATGGCTGTCTGATGGGAGGGTGCAGATGGGGGGTGCTGGTCGTCGTCGAGAGCTAGCTTTTCGTGATGTTGCGTACCAAACCTGAGCCAAGCACCGACGCCGATGCGCTAACCGAACTTCGCCCGGGCGGGACCTCAACTTTTTGGACCGTCAACTTTTTTGCGCCTGCGCGCGTCAGTCGACACCACACTGAGAAGCAAGGCCAGACGGAGATGCCGGGCACAAAAGCAGCAGCAGTAACAGCCATGTCTGGCGCCAAGAGGAAGAGAGACGCAAGCAAATCCGACCGTGGCGAGTCCAAATCCAAGAGCCGGCGCAAGTCCTCGTCCAGCGACGACGGCGAAGACATCCAATCCGAAATCGTACAGCTCGAAGCCCAGATTCTCGAATCGCGACGCCACTACAACAACATTGCCACGCTTCTGCAGCGAGCAAAGCAATCAGATGCGGAGAATGAGGGCCCCATCCTCGCGGCTGTTGCCCTCTGCCGAGTCTTTTCGCGACTACTGGTGACGGGCGACATGGTGAAGAGCAAGGGCATGAGCGAGGCAGAGGGCGTCATTGTCTCGTGGCTGAAAGAGCGCTACCGAGAGCTCTGCCAGGTCCTTCTGGACGACTTCCTCCGCAGCGAGCATCCCCCCAAGCAGTCGGTCGCCCTGACCCTGCTCATGCGATTGGCCAAGGAGGAAGCAAAGTCGCAAAAGGACTACAAGCTTAAGCATGGAATTTTGCCACGCCTTGTTGAGGTGCTGCTCCGTCTCCCCTTGGATGATCTGAACCGCGAGGAATTCGCAGAGAAGTACCTCAAGCAGTTTGACGACATTCGATACCAGACATTCCAGACCATCAAGTAAGTGTATACATCTTCGATGGCAATTTTCTACTAACATACGTAGAAACACACTCGATGAAGACCTGGATATCACCACACGACAGCTTGTAGCTGCAAACAGCATGTCGCTGCTCTCGACACTCGGCGAAGTCCCCAAATCCAAGGCCGAGATCCAGAATTTTTACATCGAGGTACAAGGAAAGAGTCCAATTCCATCCCTCCAGGCATACAAAGAGAAGGCTCAAGGGGCATGGTTGGCGACGATGCGCACAGGTCTTTCCAAGGAACAGCGAAAATCCATCTTGACCACCTTCTCCTACCAGATTGCGCCTTGGTTCCAGCAACCGGAAATCTTGTCCGACTTTTTGACCGACTCATACAATGTGGGCGGTGCAACATCGCTCCTTGCTCTGTCTGGAATCTATTACCTCATCTCGGAGAAGAACCTAGACTATCCTTCTTTCTATGTTAAGCTCTACTCACTCCTCGATGAAGGCCTATTACACTCGAAGCACCGGTCGCGCTTCTTCCGCCTCCTGGACACCTTCATGTCTTCGTCTCACTTGCCTGCGACTCTTGTCGCCAGTTTCATCAAGCGTCTCTCACGTCTAGCACTTCACGGACCTCCAGCCGGTGTTGTCGTCGTGGTACCCTGGGTCTACAACATGTTCAAACGGCACCCTGCCTGCACATTTATGATGCACCGCGAGATCCGGGACCCGGCATTGAAAAATGAAGTGGAACAAGAGGGCATGGACGATCCATTTGACATGGAGGAAATGGACCCTTTTCTCACCAATGCCATTGAGAGCAGTGTGTGGGAACTGGAGGCCTTGCAAGCACATTACCATCCCAACGTGGCTACACTGGCCAAGATCATCTCGGAGCAATTCACAAAGCGAGCATACAACCTAGAAGACTTTTTAGATCATTCGTACACTGCAGTAAGTTTGGCGCTCCCCCTTTTTTTTGTTATGTATTTCTGTACTAACAGCTCGTGTGTAGCTGCTCGACGTGGAACTCGACCGTGATCTCAAAAAGGAGCCGGAAATCGAGTTTGAAATTCCAAAGCGCATCTTGACTGCGGACGAGGGGCTGAATCCGTTGGGTCAACTTCTCACACAAGTCATCGAGGCGAGGTGATGTGATGGGGGGAGACAAGTTGGCTCAGAAGAAGAATGATACCCTCTGTTTGTTCAATGATGTGTGGATGATGTGCTGGACTAATGTTTCTCTCTCATGATATGCGGGGGTATAAGGTTGGAAGACCCTATGCAGCAATCCACAGCCACATGCACTCAACCGGCTTCAATGAACAATGTCCCTTGGTTATCCCTTCTTCTCTACCGCAGATATCGTCGTCATGGTGTGATAATTCGGCAAAGGCAGTTAGTTGTGCGCAGGTTTTTTTTCATGCATTGCAGCATTCTTTTCCCACCCAAGGTACTACGTATGCATGCAAGTATACATGCATGCAGCTTCTTCCTGCACAGTCACGTACATGCATATTTATTATTGTTTGCTAACGTAAGACCATATACCGACGCAGAAAGCGCTAGAAGAAAGAACCGACATTCAGATGGAGATGCTAAAAGCCTAGATACATACCTTCTCCAGCACAGGTAACTACCGAAAGCATACAGCGGTATAGTAGTAGCAGTAGTACGTTGAGTAGTGTAGTGTTGTCAATTTCTCTTGTTGTCGTGACGTTTAACCTTTTCTTTCTCAGCCGTGTGTTGTACTTAAAAATAGAATACGTTAGAAGACTAAGACAAAAAGCTTCCCCATGAGAATGGCTTTCGCGGGTGCCCGGGGCACACACACACGCGTGACTTGTTGAACAAGAATGAAAAAAAAAGCCAAGGAAATTCTTAGTTCTTATTCTTATTCTTCTTGTCCTCATTTGAGAGTTGGGAAGAGAAGGGAGGGGGGGAAGAAAAGGTTATGTAGGAGGGCTTGTTTCAGAAAATACACATGCACATGTCAGGTACCTGGCTTAGTCCAGCCGACGAGGCGTTTTTGTTTCGAAACAAGGGGGGGGGAGGGGAGTCAAAAAAAAGCCAACGGCAGTCAGGTAGTGAGGGCAGTCAATCGGAAAAGTAATGGAGAGGAGGATGTAACGTTGTGACGGGGGCAGAAGAATGAAAGAAAGAAAGAAAGAGAGAAAAAGGGGGAGGGAGAAAGGAGGAGAGAAGAGAGAAGCCGAGAAATGAGGACGAGGGTGAGAAAAAGAAACGCAGAAATTATGGCATGTTGGGGTTATTTTTTCTTTTCTTTTCCCTTTCCTTTATACTGTTACTGCTAAAAAAACCGATTCAATGCAATAAATCGCACATAGGTCGGGACGGGAAATGCAAGATATGCCAAGGGGACAATATACCTACATACCACTCCGCCCAAGTACGTAGGCGTTGGACTTGGCTAACTTATTAGTCAGGCAACATGCGGTTCCCGAAACAAGACAGAAAAGGACGGGGATTCATGGCAAAGCGAGTAATAGTAGATATGCATCTAAACTGTGTTGGGGGTGTGCACAAGCCGGGCCATCCGCGCTTTGGGGGCAGATGCGATGTGCTGCGATGCTAGCGTGGGCCCAAGTGCTTTTGCTTACCGTCCGAGGGGTTGGGGTCGGGGTCGGGGCCGCCCGCTGCATGTCTCAGCTTGGTGCCGTGGGAGGGAATCTAAGCGATTACGGGAAGCTTGGGACTGGGTGGGGTGGAGACGAAGAACTACATGGCTTGAGGTGCACATAGTCGTGGTGGTGGATGCAGCCTTGGAAATGTCGTTTGCTGGTACACTAGGGGGATTTTTGGCTCCCTGGCTCGAAGCTATTGTCATGCATGCAGGACACGTGATGAGCGATCGTCAGGTACGCGAGCAACCATCCTATCAGCGCACCAGTGCCCCTTTTCAACAAAAGCAAACAGTGGCTTATCAATAGTTTCATCACCTCAACATCACCACCACACGAAACACAGAAGACTTTTTCTTTTGAATAGACGACCACATTGTGGTGTCTATGATGAATTGGTTATTAACCATCTATTAACATGAACAGAACATATATGTTCGGCGTCACGGGGACGTGTCGCATTAAGTAAAGAGTCGTCATGCCAACCTTGAACCACCCCCAGATGCACGCCTTTTGGTCCCAATAATTAAAACCCGGTCACAATGACAATGCTCTCCAAAAAAACTGGTTACTCCATGCTAAGCCTTTAAACAAACAATAACAACCCCAGAGTCGTGACGAAAGGTTGCGGATATACTATGAAGAAGTGTAAAGAGTCGGTAATGTAGCGTATGCTGTGGTGCTTAAGCCAGAACGGCGGCACCGATGGCGAGGACAAGGCCACCGAATGAGACCATGTTACCGGCGGCAGCGCCAGTTGAGCCGGGGGCACTTGCGCTCCTGGTAGGGCTGCTGCTGCTTCCAGATCCGCTGGTAGAGGTGGACTCTTCACCAGAGGCAGTCGATGAAGGGGTGGAGCCAGTGCCAGAGATGATGGGCATAGTGGCGTTGACGCCAGGGACGGGAGTCATGGGGCCACCGGGAACGATGGGAGTAGCGGTGGGTACGACGACAGAAGTCAAAACTGTGGCAGTGGTTAGCATGGTGTGGTCAATGGTAGGGAGTGCAAGTAGAGCTTACCTGGGACGCCAGGAGCAGAGCCAGCGGGGGCAGATGCAACGGGAGCGGAAGCACCTGGGGCGGAGGGAGAGACTCCGGGAACGGGAGCGCCAGAGTGAGAAGCCTCTGGGACGGCCAGGGAAGTGCCCTCGGGAACGGGGAGAGAGACAGAGACGAGGGAGGCAACGACGGAAGTGACTCCGGGAGTGGGAGCGCCAGAGGGGGCACCCGCAGGCGGCGTAGCGGGAGGAGCCTGGATCTGGCCGTCGGAGATCTGGGAGATGGGCTGGATGCCGTACTGGGGAACGGCGGCAACGGCACCGGCGAGGAGGGCGACGGAGGTGATGGAGAAGCGCATCTTGATTATGTGGCGGTGTTTTGGATTAGAGATGGGAGATAGCTGCTAAGAGAAGATAGCGACTGGATGATCTGCGAGACGGATCGGAGAGTGATTAGAAGCTGCTGGGGTGGAAGCTTGCAGTTGATGATGATGATGGGTGTGAGTGAGTGAGGAGAGAGGCAGCCAGGCCACACGGGCGCGTCTATTTATTTGTTGTCGGGTTGGGGTTGCGCCGTGGGCGGGCGCTGGAGCTGGTGAGTCGCAATGGGTGCGCCACTGGGGTGGGGTGGGGCGTGCACGCGAAGCCTGGCAAGAGCGAGGGAGCTGGGAAGGGCCCCCGGGCGGCATTGGCAGGGTGGACAAGCATTGTTCCAAGAATCACCGCCGTGTTTCTTGCTGGGCCGTTGGGCGCGCCTGCTCCGCCAGCTCTGCCCCTGCCGCCTGGAGGCTGGATCGCGCCGAATCGCTGCTTTTTGCGTGCCCTGGCCTCGGCGCCCATTGGCCGGCGCGTGGGGGGTGGGTGAAGGATACTACTCTATCTGCTACCACGCGCCTGCCTGGCACCTAGCCACCACTCGACTGCTGCTGATGCTGGTGCTGCTGGTGCTGCGGCTGCTGCTCCATAGTCCGGCCACCGCAATTGATGGCGGCGAGAAGGCTGGGAAAGCGGCGTGCGGGCGTGCCACGCAATCGCTCGTCGTGCGTGGGTGCAGGTGTCGGTATGGCCGTGCGCAGCTTATCGCGGCGGCGGCCAGCAAACGCCTCCCGCCCCGTCGAGCGGCTGTGCGACGGCTAGTCCCAATGCAGCAGTAGTGCCAGCATACCCTTTGGCTTTGTGCTCGTGCTCGGCGGCCGTGGGCTCGACCCTGGCCCCGCCCGCTTTTCTTTTCTTTTCTTTGCTCGCGTCGCTGATCGTTGCCCCGACCTGTCGTTGCCCGCCGCGGCCAAAGGCGTGCTCTCGCTCCAAGTCGACCATTTGCATATGCAGCATGAGTCTTCTTGACCCCGTCGTGTTTCGCCTTCGCCCGCCTCGCTCTCCACCCCTCCCTCGCTCTACTAACTTTAGCAGCAGCAGAGCCACGCTGCCACGCCCACGGCTTGTCATCTGCCATCATCGCCAACCGCTTCGTTTTTCGGTTTCGCCCACATGCCACGGCCCGTGACAAAGCGACGCGTGTCCCCTTGCTCATCAACCACCTCCACAGCCTTCCACCAGCCTCACCGCGATCCAATTTTTTTCCTTCCCCTGCATGCATGGCTGGATGGCTACGCGCAATTGCCTGTGCCCGTCCGTCCTTGTCGATCCCAACAGCCTTTGGCCTACCGCCCTCCATCTTTGTTTGTTTGTCTGTCCCGTCCCAACCACTCTCCCCAGCCCGGCCCTGCCCTGCCCAGCCAACCTACATATACATACATACTACTGCATGCTGCACGCTGCGCACGAGCAGGCGTTGATTCCCCACACGTGCAATCTATCCAAACAAGATGCAACATGCATGCTGTACCTACATTACGGCGAAGAGGCCAAATGCAACCAAGCTCACGCCACGTCTGCGCACTCGCAAGCGGTCAACCCTCTTTTACTAAACTCGTTTGGTGCCCTTCGTAGCCTGGCCGCGATAACAAGGCGATCATGACGTCTTCTGCCTGTTCCTCTCTCCATCTGCGTCGGCCTTGCCAGATTCGTTGTCAAATGCTGATAGAAAATTTTCCTCTTATCCTGGTTCTTCTGCAGTCGGACCGCGCGTTGCCCATGATTGTTGGAGGCGGAGCACCAAAGTATATCGTAATCGCGGAAGCAGCCACAGCCACCGACCCAAAGACTCTTGCAGAATAAACATGACGAAACACGCCAGAGAAAGAAAAGCAAGCGTGTTCGCGGCCATTATGCAACGCTCTTTTTTTTGTCACTTTCATGCTATAGCCTCCTTAGCCTCCTTGCACTACTTACCACCTAGTACTTGCACTCTGTTGCCTACGTACTAGTAGTTTTTTCGCATCACACCATTCCTCATCCACTCACTGTCTAGAAAATTCCACGTAGCACCATGTAACCCCATCGAATCTATCTCGCGCAACTACGGTTCCTTCCGCGCCCCTCCCCAAGTCCGCCGCCGCCGCCGCCGACCCCGAGCGCCGCGCGCCAAACCGAGCAAACCGAGCAAAGCACACTTAGTCATTGCGCACCCCGCACGTCCTCTGCTACTCTACATTCTACACCGCACAATGTCCTGGTAGAGGATTCCAGAAAAGAAAGAGGAAAGAAACAAGGAAATATACGTGAGCGATCGAGTGGTATTATCGCATTTTCCCATTCGAGACATGAAGTTTTCACCTACTCTGGCGGCCGTTCTTGCGCAATTCACCGCTACTGTACAGAGGTGGCTTTCAAAAGTTCTTGCTAAGGCGCGGATCCATCGGACCGAATTCTCGTGATAACGTTTCCATTATTTACTTAGCGTGCAAGAAATAATGCCTAATATAGTTAGTGTATTACTGTAAGTGTATACTTTAGTAGCTACTATTCTCTCCAAACTTCCATTTTAAGGGCTTTTAGTTGCGAATATAGTATAATTCTTAGTCTTCGGCTATATTTTCGGTGGTAACCAAGGAACCCCTGTCAGCAAGAACTTTTGAAAGCCACCTCTGTAAACACGGCTACACGGGTATAGCTTTGAGAAGACGGGCGTTGCGAAGCCAAGCGAACAGTGCCGGCAATACCAACATATACTACATAAATGCAACATGCGGCATATGTGTATGTAGGTAGAAGCCATGTACTCACGTAGCTTGTGTCACACATGTTGAGCTTGGCTCATGAAACGGCGTATGCAGACAAGAAGCAAGACCAACACGAAAGAAGAAATGCAGAGAAAAATAAAGACAGAGAAAGTAAAGGAAGAAGGAGAAAAAACCCCGCATATTGGTCCAAAACAGTAGTGGTAGTGGTAGTGCAACCGCGATGCATGCCCCCCCCCCCCGGATGCGCCCGTTTGCCTGCTAGTAGCAATTTAGGGCTGGTTGGCTGCGACACCTACCCAGGTGTGGGTATACTAGAAGCTGCATCAACTGTACACTAATTTTGCACTACAATTACCCGCCAACGCTAAGAGCGTGGAGATGAGGTTTGGCGCCCTGGCGTCGCACAACAGCTAAGTACACAAGTTACACAAGTAACTCGTAGTGATGGTTACAAGGACAACCCTCAACGTTGGCGAGCTGCATGGGAGCACAGTCAGCCGCCGTCGTCCTTGTCCGCCTATCAGGGCTTAGTACATGGTATATAATATTTTACCCAATACTAGTAGTATATTGGTTGCTTCTGCACATGGCCGAAAAAAAAAGGAAAACGAGAGAAAAAAAGATAAGATGAAAAGAACAAAGTAGATTCTCTCCACTCACACTCCCCCACAATGCACACCCTCGCTTTTGCATGCGTTGTACACACATAGACATAAAAGTCAATGGAATATTGATTGGCTAGTTGACTGACTGGCTGGATGCTGGATGGATGGTTGGTAGGATCAATAAATCCATGTCATGTAACAAGCAAAATAAATCCCCCCCCCATGTATTACCCGCCGCGATTTTCCCAGTAGACACGCATGCATCCGTCAAGCAAAAATCTTGTAGTATCCCATGTTGATACCATATCGCACCATCCCCATCTCTCGACTATTAAAATGCACCCAATTATGCGTTTGAGCGCGGGGAATCACAATGAAAAAAAAACAGAACAAAATTACAACAAATCTCTCTGACTGGGATAGAATTACATTCTTTTGTACTCCAAGGAAAAACCCTACTTCTACATTCATTCCCCTTCATTGCGCTTCATTACATTAAAATCAATTCTTTTCTCGGCTGATTTCATCCGCCGACTCACTGTCCGCCATGGACTTGGGCGCCATCATAGGCTCAGGTCCTGTGGGAGTGCCCGGTGTTGTGCGCTTGAAGTAGTTGTGCACGTCCTGGTGGTCGTCCTCATCAGCCTCAGCGCCCTCCCAACCGTTCTTCTCCGAAAACTTGTGTTGCTGGCGCTCGACCCAGTCAGCGCGCATCTCGTCAATCTTCTGCTGGTAGTCGAGCTTCGCGTCGTAGCCCTTGTGCTGTCCACGGAAACGCTCCCACCACGAAAGGTGCTTCCAGTGAATGGCAATGCCGTGGTACTCGTTCTCCTTGCCCGCACGAATGTACGCCCAGCGACGCTCCTGCTCCTTGAGATCGAGACCAGTCGTGTCGGGAAGGAAGAGGAGGGTCAGAAGAGCACCCGCAAGACCGAACCAGGGCACAAAGTAAAACTTGGTCTGCGTGTCGATGTAGTTGTAGAGAACGGCAGCGAGCAGTGCACCAGCCTTGCCGCACGCGGCACTGAATCCGTGGGCAGTGGCGCGAACGGGCGTGGGGAACACCTCGGCAGCGACGAGGAAAGTAACACTGTTGGGTCCGAACTGGTTAAAGAACGAAGACAGAAAGTACATGGCCTGGAAACCGTGAATATGTTCAATCGAGGTAAAGTAGTTCAAGGCGAAACCCGGGACGATGAAGAGGACAAAGTCAGCCATGAAACCGACAATCATCATCCACTTGCGGCCGTAGAGCTTGTTGTCAATGAGCATCGACGCGAGGTAGTATCCGCAGAGCGAGACACCAACGTTGATCAGGTTGTACAACCAGTCGACCATAACAGACTTGTTGCCAGGCGTGATGATGCTGATGAACTCGTTCTGGAAAAGCTTGTTGCCGTAGAAGAAGACATCGTTGGCGAACCAGGCACCCGCAGTAGCCAGAACACGGGGACCAAAGTAGGTAAAGGTGAGCTTCAGCGACTGGACGTCGTATCCGGTAACGTTGGACTTCTTCTTGGACAGCATGAGCTGCTTGGAAGCCGACTTCATCTTAAAGTAACGGAAGTAGACGAGCCAGAGTGTTCCAACAGCGGGAATGGCGAAAGAAACACGGTAGGTCCATTGCGCCAGGGTCTTGGAGTAAGGCGGCGACGATCCGCCGTGGAAGATGAGAAGCAGGATGATCAAGATGACCTGGTTGAAGAACTGGCCCCAACCCTGCATCAGGAAGGCACTGGTGACTTTCCTTCCACGGTGCAGACGGTCGTCCTTTGTCGAAATCTTTCCAGAGCCGACAGCATTCTCCATGCCGGCGGTCGCAGTCATGGGATACTCGCCTCCCACACCAATACCGTAGAAGAAGAGAGCCCAGACATAGCAGATGACCCAGCCGTTTTCGGTAACACCCCAAGCGGCAGTAAGCATCAGGAGACCGATGAACATAATGGTAGCGTCCTGGATGAGACCGAAACGGCGGCCAAGCCAGTCACCAATAACACCGACGAGAATCTGGCCGACAATGATACCGCAAATCTCCAGGTAATCAATAGCCTGAAGCCATGTCTGGTCACAGGTCTTGTGGTGACCCCAACAGTCAGGGAAAGCGGCCTTGAGCAAGGGGCGCACGTTGCCAATAGAGAAGAGGACGTAACTGGGAAGAGCTGGTCAGCATAGGTTGGATCGTGCGCGGTCACATGAAACTCACCCTTCCAATCCAAGACCGGCACCAGGAATGACACAGGTGCGGAAGTAGTGACCTAGAGGGGCGAGCGGGTCGTTCTTGAACATGTTCCAGAAGTAGCTGGCCTCAGCCTTTGCTTCCTCGGCGTCGACATGTCCAACAAACTTGATGCGTTGGCCGAGGGGCATATCGGCCCAGTAGGTTCCTTCGGCATTGTAGAGGTCATCGGGGTGCAGCAAGGCATGGAAGACATTGGCCTCGTTTGCGCTCATGTCGTGACGGATGTCGATCTCCTGGGTGGCTTGATGCTGGCCAGTCATGTTGGGGCCATGGGGTGCGGCAATACCATAGTCCCTAAGGGACTCTGGGGCTTCGACGTTGTTGGCCATGGCGGGGGGTAGGGCAACGAGAAGTGTCGAGTTCTCGTGGCCACCTGCTTCTTGTAGCAAAGAAGAGGAAGAGGAGGAAGAAGAAGCCCAGACAAGCTTTGCCCAGAGATGCGGGACTCTGCCAATGCTTATATGTGCCGAGATTGCAGTCGAGGCGAACCGATGGCCCGAAAAGAGGTATGGGTAATTTGTGCTGGACCGTATTGACTAGTCCCACGCAAAGGGCAGAGGAGTACCACGTTGAAGAGCGAGGCTTCTGAGTGGTGGGCGGTGATCTGCAAACAAGGCCTAGTAATAAGACCGGAGGAGCCGATGAAGAGACTATCCCGGGACACCCGTATGCGTGGGGTCGCTGGCGGACGGCGTCGAGACAGATGGCACACGCTACTCAGGCCTGGCGATTGCCGTGGCAGCTGTGGACTCGAGGGTGAAAAAAATAGCGAGGTCCGGCGGGGTGGTGGTGGTGGGCCGGGCCAGGACACGAGGAGAGCAGCACGCAAAGGGTGCGCGAACTCGAATAAGCAAAGTTGGGCATTGTAGCAGGAGCCGAGGCGTAGAGGTTATAAAGGGCCAAGCGAAGAAAATTCTGGTGTAGATACCGTCGCTTCCGATGGGGGTGGAGAGTCGAAGGCGAGGATGCTAGCTGCTAGGGTCGCGAAGACCCACCCAGAGCGGAAGGAGCTCACACGACAGGAAATGCAGGCCTTTTTTTTTTTGCAGTGCCAGCAGCGCGCTCCCATTGGGCGGCGGGGGGAGGCGAACGGGGCGAGTGCATGCACTGGGCCAGTTGCGTGCCTATGCGCCCCATTTCTGGTCTGGCCGCATCGCACGAGACCCTGGGTGCGCGCTGCTCGTCCCCCGGATTTGGAGACTTGGATGCGTGTTGCTGGGCCGTCGCAGTCTCTACTTACTAGCACCAGGCGTGCTGGCGACTCGGAGCGCGCCCATGACTTTTGTTGCCACAAGCCTCGGCGGCGGCGCGCACAAGCACCACCAAGCAAATGCTCGCAGCGCGGCATTGAATCCTCGACATTCTTGTTGTGCGCCGCTGACGCGCCGTGGGCAATGTGTCGCCGTCGCCGTCGCCCGGTGCAGCATAGGCAATGGAGCCTCGACGCAGCACACATGGCCGCGCGCAGCCAATCACAGCGCCCGCACCGAGGGCGTGCTTGGATGAATGGCTATGGCGGGGTCCAGGGCACCGGCCAAGCCAGGCCCGTGCTGCTCGCTTGGCGCTGCCCACCCCTCACCACCGCTGCCGAGTATCCACACCCACCTCTCTGTCATCGCACCTTTCAACACCACCTGCGGCCATAGAGTGACATCGCGCCGTCGCCAGCCGGCGCCTTCAGTGCTCAGCACAGGACTTGCTTCCATTTCCAACTGCTTACGCCCGAGCTATCCCTGCCCGTGCGTGGCAGACACCAGGCCCACGCTCCGGCTTACCATTGTCACGCTGTTCGTACATTCATAAGCTCGCGGGGTACCGCCGCCGTTGCTGCCATATTACACATACACACATACGTACGCAATACCCCGACACTGAAATCTCTAGCCCTGCGTTTGCTGCTGCTCCGGCACTAGGGACATGGCCCTTGCCACACACTGCCCTGGGTCTATGCTCCAGTCACCTCTCCAGACGCTCCCATGGACCCTGGGACCCGTTGACCATTCGCCCGCCGAAACTGGAGACGTGCCGCGGTAGCGACGGGGGGAAACCACTCTGATCCACCGCCCCATGGAAGAATGCTCCAGCCGCAAGTGGAGCGGCCACAGCCTGACCATCTCCATCGTGTGGCTAGTCAGTCGTCGGAAATCTCTCACCACCGTCTTCAATGCATGCCGACTTTTCACCCGAGATACTGAGCGTTTCTCGATACGAATTGGTATTAACAGTCATCTAGAATAATATTGTGTCTTGCGTAAGAATGCCATCCAGTGGGGGTGAGTATTACAGACTTGCTCCGTCATGTTGCCGAAACGAAGAGCCGTGGATATGACGAAAGCAATGCGAGAGACATGGAAACAAGACGGAAACAGTCAGCCGCCAAACAAAAACCCCTGCGCTATGCAAAAATCCACCCATTCCGCGGAACATGATTATATATCAACATAGGAAAAAAAAAACTGCATGTCGGCTCCAGAATCCGTGGGACTCAGTTGAGCCAGTTCTGCCATTGGCAACGACAACCCCCAGTTCCACCATCAATGGGCCCGGTGGCGTTCTCTTGGCCCTGGGTCCCTCTGACCAGATTACCTCCGAATCCTCGGTCTTCAAACTGGAAAAACTTTTTCGAATCCTCGTTCTTGATCGTGCCGTTATCCTCCATCTCATAGCAGTAGAGGTTTTTCTTCGCAGCATCTCCGCCGTGGCGGTCAATGGTAATGGTGACTGGGTAGGGAAAGGTGCCTGGTCGCTTGAATGCATCCGCCGTGCTAGACGTGGAAGCAGACTTTTGCAGCAATGGCTTGCTGTCTTTGCTGCGCGTCCAGATCTGTACCAGGAACCGCGTCTGCGCGTAGGTGCATCTCAGCTTGGCTGCATCCTTGGTGCTTCCTCCATCTGTATCTGCAGGGTTCCCGCCACGGTTGGTGCCGTTGATCTGCTTGAGGAAGATGGAGCGATCGTAGTAGCTGTAGAAACCGTAATGCTCATTGTCTTTTCCTCGGTTGTACAGCCGTAGGGGTTGTGCAGAAGGGTAGGGAAGCAGATTGGCAGGGGCGGCAGTTCCATCAGAAGCCAACATGGGCGGAGGTATCACACCAGTAATGTTGGTAGGGTCGGCTGGATCAACGCGCTTCGCCAGACGCGGTGCGCTGGTAGAGGGATCTTTCATGCTGATCAACAAGCCAGTCTCTTCGCCTTCAAATGGAGCCGAATTTCCATCCGTCGTCTGTCCGATGAAGCTCATGTCCGCAGTTGATGGAGGTGCCGGCGATGGCGAGGGTGCAGCGCGCGCATGAAGCAGCGACCGAATCAAAGCTCCAGCTGATACTGGGTTTGCGGCCCTTCTTGCGCGTTGAGCCTTTGGCAACTCGGCGACACTACCGTTCTCAAAAGTGATTTCAATCTTGAAGTTGGGCTGATCCGGCTTGTTGGGTGCAATGGATTGTTGCTGTTCTTTGGGCAGCGCACAACTCCATAGTGTCGTGGGCGCGACGCAACCGCTCTCTTCTTCTACCACTTCAGGCTGCGCAATGGTCAAGACACCAACGGGCATGGGTGGGTAGTCTGTCCGATTGAGCCACTGGTTACCGACATCTCCGCTTGGCACGGTTGCTGTGGGCTTGCTATCGTCATGACTTTTCCTCGTCACTACCACCACGACTGGGATTATGATGGCCAGCAATATGAAAAAGACCAAACAGCAGCAGCATCCCCAGAAGCATACTCCTCTCTTCTTTTTCTTCTCTCTGACCTCACCGTGCTGGTTCTGCTTCTTCTTCTTTCCAAATGGCCACATGCTTGCCATGTCACACACTTTTCGGTGTTGCTTGCGTCCTTTGAGATCGTGGGAAGATGCGTGGGAGCTGGAACGACTAGCATTGTCGTAGCTCCAATGTGAGCCTTTTTGGGCCACCTTTGGAGGCGGAGCAAACACGGGCAAATTCTGTGACGAACTGTTGGCGTTTGTAGTAGAAGAGGTCATGGCGTGTGGTTGTGCTGCTGGCGCTGAGATGTGCACTTGCTGGATAGTTGGTGGGTAGTTGGCCCGGACGGGCTGGCTCTCTACCAACGGTCGCCTGTCCTGCAATTCAATATTGACATTGATCTGCTGTGGCTCCTGGACCTGGCGAGGCATTAGGACCGTTCCAATGGCCGCTGTACCAACCACTGGCGACGCAGACATAGTTGACAGAGGGGAAGTGACGGCTCGCTGGGGCTCGGGGGGTGTTTGGTGGTCACTGGGCTTTTCTGGCTCAGACTCCACTGGAGCACTGGCTGTTGAAGCTGCCATTGGATGAAGTGGCGACCTAGGCGGCCTGGAGGGTTCTGCTTTACTCATTCCGTACTGCACGGGTACCTTTGGCACATCTGGCGTCCTGTCGCCATTTGTTGCCGAATCCGGCCATGTTGCCGACTTGGGTGTTGCAACGAATGGTGTGGTGATGACGTTCCACCATCCTTGCGACCGCCGTGGAGTAGGCACCATTGACGTGTCGATGGCCAAGGAGTTCTCCGCCGTCTTTTCGGTCAGAGGTGTAATATCCTCCTCAAATACGGTACCGGTAGACATGATGCGTTCTTTCCGTCTTGAGTCATCGTCCTCTTCGAATGCAGTTCCAGCAGAATCGAGGGTATCGTTTCTGACGTGGGTAGATTGCCTACGCGCGTCTTTTTCGGAGCTGTTTGCTTGGGAGACTCCGGCAGGCAGAGCGGGAACAGGCGGAACGTTGGCGTTGGCAAAGGTCGACTGATAACGAGAGTAGATGCTCGGTGTGTAGTCTGACTCGGTATAGGGCGTGTCGGGCGACCAAACCGATTTGACTGCTGCAGGCGTGATGATGATGCTTGGTGTCACCAGTGTGTTGTCGCTGCCAGCACGAGGGCGGTTTGCGTGGAGGGTGCTAAAATCGGATATGCTATCGGTAGGGACGGATATTCCTATCGGGATGCGTCTGTCCCAGGGAGATATTTCCTGCCAAGACTTATTACTCGAGGCCATGGACGTGGCAGTGTCAATGTCGTTCCGATCCATGCTCTGCTTCTTCTGATGCAGGTGCTCTGGTTGTGGAGTACCCTTGCTGATGCCCAGGCCTTTGTTTTTGGTCGAGTTTCTCCCCAGCCCAAACCATGGTGACTTGCGGACGGAGCCAGTGCTTCTCTCCGAGTCGCGTGGAAAGACCTGGTGTGGCTCCTCTCCCCTGTGCCGTGTGAAGCTTGTGTCGACAGTGATGCCTGGTTTGCCCGGTCGACTCCGGAGCTCTATCCTCCGACTCCTCTGGCGTGACATGCGTCCTGTGAACGACCGCGAGCTACGCTTGGTCACTGTTCGCTGCACTCCAATGTTGGGCTCCACTTGGCACGTCTGTCGCTCATATGCTGTGTTCCTGTCGGATTCATCGTCGAAATGCACCAATATCTGTTCCTCTCCTTCGTCTTGTGCGTACCGGTCGTCCTGTGATGGGTATCCAGTGTTCTCGGTCGACGGTGGTAATGGCCTCAGTGGCGGTTGGCGATATGAACTCATGGCTGACGGTTGGCGATGTCCTTTGTACAGACGTATCTCATTCAAAGAATGACCTGATATTAATGGCCTTTGTGGCGTATGTCGATTTCACGGTGAATATAGACTATTACGTGGTTGCTATTGTTGCTGCTATTGTTTGGTACTGGCGAGGCTCGGTGCCTGTTACGGGATGGGAGAACAACGAAAGTGAACAAAACAAGACAAAGCAGCGACAGCGGAACGCAAGGAAAGTGTGAAAGAGGCAACGAAGAAGCCAAACGCACGCAGAAAGGAGACCGGTGAGGCTGTTGTACGGACACGCGACCCCGGATCTTTTGATGGGCGTCGAGGGCCTTGCCGCCTACCTGGCAAACGACTGCCATACCACATTATGCATAGCTCTTTGACCTTGATGTGTACGCTGGCCTATCACGCAGCATAGCGACCGGCGACGTCTCGGTGAGTCAAGGCGCATCGGTGGGAGCAGGCGTTGTCCACAGGTCCGGAATGCAGGTGATTGGCGGCAGCGGTGGAGCTGCTTCAAATTGAGCGCCATGCTTGCGGGCGTGAGGCTCAATAGCCGCCCTGGATTCGCTGGCGGGGAAAATGTACAACTGTATGCGACACCTGAGACGCTCCAGATGTATAGCTCCATGTCGTGTCGAGCAGAGTGTCGAGGAGAGCCAGTCAGGTGGGAAGACGACGTGCTCAAGCGCCAGGCCGTGGAGGCAGGCTGGCAGCGATTGGCCACGAAGGCGCCGCCAAGACGGCGCTAGCCCACCGCACTACCCGGCGCCGTCGTGGTCGCGAAAGGCCCTCCACGCCCAAGGGCTGCTGCGACGCCTCGTGGACTGCGAAATGCCCACAAGTAAGGAAAAGCTGCATGGCAGAGGCCCAGATTGCCGTGCAAGGCGGCGGGCTGACCTTGGGACGCCGGGCGCGCGTGTCAGCCTGCCAGGATGCTCGAATGCTGACCGTTGCATGCGCCGCTTACTGCGTGTCGGCCTCTGCTATCGCCAGGCATGCACTGGTCTCTATCGCGCACGCACACGAGCTGGGTGGAATACTCGCGCTCACGTGCCTGCACACCGCGCAGCCGGCATGCACATTGCTCTTCTCAGACGGTGTACGGTAATACAGGCACATGGCAGCACAGCAACAGGACAGGGCCACGTGACAGGCGCCAAGCACATGCTCTGCGACACTGACAGGCGCACTGCGACTTCGGGGCGTTGCTACGGCTCGTATCTCGACCGGCCTTGTCCCTGCAGCCCTCTCTGAATACGGAGCACCTAAATAGCCTTTTGGAGCCATTGCACGATGCCACGAGAACGCCCCAACGGCTCGCCCGTCTCCAGCCCTCAGCCTCGCCCGTCCGCACGCCGCCGTGCAGCGCAAACGGCTGCGTGCCCTGCGCGTCTGCCGTGTCGGCCCTTGGGGTGGTGATGGCGCGACGCCGTCGAGGCTCATCTCGTCGCTGCAACTCTGCGGCATGCCAAAGTGGGGAGGGGTCTAGCCCGGTTAGTGGCCCTCCCTTTCAGGTCGACTGCCAAGCAGCGAACTCGACAGCAATTTGGCCCATCGCCAGAATCTCCTTTCCTCCCGTCGCCCTACCTCGTGTGTCGGGCGCAATAATTTCCTTTCTCTCCGTCTTTCCTTCCATTGCGATTGAAGCAGCTTTCACTCGACATTTTTCCATAGTGCGACACGCCCTTCGGCTACAAAGTTGGACCGACCACCTTGCTCCCGCCTCTCAACCACACCCGCCAGCTGTCCTGTAATACAAAACGACCGCGCTGTGCTAGACACCTGCCGACGAATCGCATCCGCAATCTGCTCTCTCTCTCTCTCTCTCTCGCTTGTTGTTACCGCAAGCCACGCGAGAGCGCCGCCTGTATAACCTACGCCGTCGACCGACCCCGATCTCGTCACGCTGGCTTCCCAATCTTCCTTCTCCGCTTCCGCTGGCCAACGGAGAAGGCGCTCATCTGCTGCAAGGCAGGCGCCATCCAACCTGAACCTCCCCAACAGCGCCGAAACCCAGAGCAGGCTCGGCACAACCAGCGGTCTCTCCGGCCGCTCCCCGGGTGAAGGCCTGCCCACTATACCTGGCACCCCAGGCTTCAACATGTCCGGGTCTTCGTCGCCCCAGCCCGGAGGGTGGTCGAGTCCAGGCCTGAGCACACCCTACGACAACAGCGGCCAGGCCAGTCAGTTCGCCAATGGCTCATCGTCACACAATGTCACTTGGGCGTCGGCTCAGGCCCGGAGTGCCGAAGTCAAAGGCTATCCTGCCTTTACGCCCAGAAGCCAGGGTTTTTTTGGTAGACACTTTCGCCGCCTGTCCATGAGTCTGCCCTTCAACCAAGGCGAGAAGGAAAAGCTAGGCCGAGGCCGGTCTCAGGGCAACCGGTTTACGCAAGCGCTCGGCGGCCTAACCTGGGGTCTGTGGCGCTTGCGCAAACGATTCATACTCTTGTTTTTGGTATTATTCATCATGTTCTTTTGGAATTTCAACTCACGTAAGTCATGCATGCCAGCATTGAGCGATTGGTACTGACCTGTACAGCTATACGTCGAATGTACAGACGGTCCGCGTGGCTCGGCGGCGGCAGCAAATACGTAGTCATTCTAGCCGCTAATCAGGGCGGAGGTGTCATGGAATGGAAGGGTCCTCGTGAATGGGCCATTGAGCGCGACAGCGTTAAGAACAAGAAGAAGTACACAAGGAACTGGGGATACGAATTGGAAATTGTCGACATGAGCACCAAGAAGCGCTATGCACACGAGTGGAGGGAGAGCTGGGAGAAGGTTGACACGATTCGCAATGCCATGCGCAAATACCCGCATGCCGAATGGTACGTGCACGGCAGAAACGGTACAACAAATACTCACACGACACAGGTTTTGGTGGTTGGACACCAACACGTTCATCATGGAGCCGACGTACTCGCTGCAGAAGCACGTTTTCAAGCAGCTGCGAGACGTTACATACCGCGACATCAACGTATACAACCCCCTCAACATCACCCATCCTCTGACGGACGAATACCTCGACCCCGAAACACGCTCGCCAGTGGGTGATGGCAAGGTCGAGTCTGTCAACATGCTGCTGCCCCAGGATTGTGGTGGCTTCAACTTGGGCTCATTCATGGTGAAGAGAAGCGTGTGGACCGACAGGCTCCTCGACATTTGGTGGGATCCGGTTGGCTACGAGCAAAAGCACATGGAATGGGAGCACAAGGAACAGGATGCATTCGAGTACATGTACCAAAACCAGCCTTGGATCCGCCCACATGTGGCGTTTATCCAGCAGCGCCAAATCATGAGCTTCCCACCAGGCGCTTGTGGCCAGAAGGGCGACGACCCTAACATCCATTACCAAGAGAAAGACCGCGACTTCCTAGTCAACATGGCTGGCTGCGAGTGGGGTCGTGACTGTTGGGCCGAGATGTACAAGTACCGCGAGCTCAGCAACTACCTCAACAGGACTCCATGGGAGAAGTTCAAGGACGGCCTTTCAGCTCTGTTCAAGGGAAAGAAGAAGAAGAAGGAAGACAAGCACTAAAGCGTAATGAGGGACAGATGAGTATAACGTGTTCCTGGCAGGTCTTGGATTTTCATAGAAGCCATGGGTTCGGCTTGTGGGTCTGCAGCCAACATGCGCGGACGAGACGAGAATGCACAACTCAGCGAGTTGTATACGCTAGCATCGCGTCGGCGTGGGTGTCGCGCACTTGCACACCATGAGGTTGGCTTTATTTGGGCAAACGGGCAAGTATTCAAACAGCCTGTGGCGCCACCATCATGTATAGGGATGTTATTCTTAGGGTCAAACTAGGTTGGAGTATGTGGACGACGCTCGAGCTTAGCAGCGGCGGGTGCCTTGTCCTTGGCCTACTCCATGAGTTGAATTTGTATTGTTCACGTAGCTTCTGTAATCGTCTGCCACTGTTAGTAGTGGCTAAGACAAATATATCTGATGAATGAATTTTTGTGTTTGCCAGAGGCTCTCGTCCTTGAAAAACACTTATGATAGAAAAAGCTGCTGGTGATGAGAATAACTTGTGTCCATGACAAGGCATCTACGCATCTGGCTTCTCTGCATCTCGCTCTACCATGTCAATACACGTACGTATCTACGTTCTCCGCACTCAAGTTATAAATACCCCAATCCAGGCCTGGGACTATGGAAAAGCTTCAAAGGCCACATGTGCAGCGTCAAACTCACTTGTAGAACTCGAACAGAGTTGGCTGCAGTCGTCACCATCTCCCAACATGTCATTCGCTCGGAAGGAGAGTATCCCAGCCCTTTGAAGACTACCGGGGAATCCCAGTCGTCGCCAGCATGTTTTGTCAAGAAACCTGGCTAGACAGCAGCAAGTGGTATATCACGTGACCAGCAGCAGCATGATGACGTGATGGATGGCGCATCTCAACAGCAAACCTTAAGCGTGCGTCGCGCGGTAGTGATGCGAAAGGCTACAGAGACACTCGTACGGCGAGGGTTGCAGGCTTGCTGCTTGTCTCAAAGAGCCGTGAAGATATTGGCAGACGACCTCAGCTTGTAGATGCGAATGTCTCGTGTATACAGGCAGGTGAGCATGCCCAGGCCGCACAACGGCAAAGGGGGCAGGCGGGCGAGCAGCGTCTGATTCGTTCATGTCCCACACGGCCACTGCCAATGGTCATACGCCAGCACACGGGGACACGAGGCCAGGGACAGGCAGCCGAATGCTCTCATCAACTGCACTCTGACTTGCTTCTTCTCCTCTTGAACGCGCACCCAGGCGTTGTGTTGATCGAGACCCTTCAGACTCCGCAAAGCGCCATACCAATACCGCAGACCGCGAGATCACCTAGAGGCCCCGACCGTGCGCAAGCTGGGGAAGTCGCCGTACTTGGTGGTAGCGTGAGCCCGTTCGCGAACGTCGCCTTATCTCGAGCTGCGCCCGCAGCGACTACAGCGAAACGACGCCAGAGCCAGACTCGCGAGCCCCCGTCTGCGCTTCTCTGTCTTGCGCTCCACCCTGCCGCAGCCGCCTTATCTGCCTTGGTCCTACGGCGTCGCTTGAACATCGCCAGTCCCAGACAAGGACCCCGAGCCGGAACGACCCTGGCGGCCCACTTGAGCGCATCTCCCCACCCATCGCCATAGGGTCCAAGCTTATAAAGACGACCCCGACGTCTCTCGGTCACTACCTGGCTTCCTGATACGATGCACGACCATCGCCCCCCGCGACCAGGCCGCCAGTTTGGAGGTGCCGAAGAAACACCCCGTCCAGACCAAACCATGGTGTCTTCGCGACCTGTCGCATCGTCTTCCAGGCAGCGCCCAGACGGTACGTTGATCGCCCTTCTCCACTCCTTTCCGCACCCATGTATCCAGCCCCCAGCTAACACCAGCTTTGCAGAATCATGGATCGATATCGCATCCGGCCCTTCGTCGACCTCGTTGTCCTCTGTGGCTGACGAGATCATCACGACCGGTCTCACGGTACAGCACGACTCGAGGCTCCACCGGCGACAGAACCGGCGCTCAAGGGGCGGCGGTCAGTTCTCTGTAGGCACCGGCCACAGGGTTGCTGCTGCAGGCGGGAACAGCAGTCAGGAGGAGTATGAAGAGAGCGAGAGCGAGTCGGATCGCGTCATGACGTCTTCGAACGAGGCCGTTGGTCCCTCTCTGCTCAAACACGAGTTCCCGTCTCCAAGTCCACAGTCAGTCGCGTCTTCGGAGACTCTGTCAGAAAGAGAGGATGACGAAGAAGACGAGAATGCAACGGCTGTGAACTATCCACGCTCTAGCAGACGCGAGTTTCAGCCACGACCCAACGCCTTCTCCCATCCGAACAGCCAACAAGCCATCCGCTCGCACTCCGGCACCTTGTACACACCTCGTCGAGCTGCGAGACCGGCAGGGCAGCGACAAAGTTCCTATCCTCAACACACGCCCTTCAACGCGGTAGCTCCCAACTACCAACCCGACCATGACGAAGCCCTACGCGCCAGTCTGTCAACTCTGTTGTCTGCTGCCGCTGCGGTGCGAGGGCTACCCAAGCCGGGCCAGCCACGCACAGCCCCGCCCTCGTCGACTCGGGTCGACCCGTCGTCACTCCGCATGGTCCCGGAGTCTGTGGCTTTGGGCAACATAGCCGAGGAGACGACGTCGTCACCGCGCAGTGTCAGTAGCGGCCCGTCGGAGAAGCCCAAGCGCAAGGCAAACGCGCCCCTAGCCAGCGCCCGGAGCAGCAGTAAAGACCGCCGCGCCGTCCGAAAGGTGCGCAAGACAGGCCCGCTCATTGAGGAGATTAGCCCGACGCTGCTCACCTGGGTGGTCAGCGCTGGTGTGGTGGTTCTTGTGAGCGCCATTGGGTTTTCAGCAGGCTATGTCGTTGGTAAGGAGGCAGGCCACGCAGAGGCCATGGGGCAGCTTAGTGGTGCTGACGCTGGTCGTTGTGGCAAGGAAGCTGCATCTGGCATGCGAAGCACAGGCTTGGGGCTGAGAAAGCTCAGATGGGGATCTGGCGCTGGTATCCGTGTTTGAAATGCTCAATGATGTTGACGTTGACGAAATGACTTTTTTTCATGGCATTTTAGCAAGCACGACTCTTTTTTGGGGGGGGTGGGAGAGGGGGGACGTCGTTGGTTTGGCTTGATATAGTACATATACACACATATATAATACTCATGTTATTCGTCATGGCGCTGTATGGGCGTTGGGCTTTGAATTCACATTGTACTGGGGACGACAATCCACACTTCTTGGGACATTTGCTGCTTTGTGATGTCTAGTTCCAACATCATATCTCATTCTTTTTTTTTACCGCTGGCTCATTTTGCAACTTTGGAATCACAAATCATATACATCAAGTCCCCTCTTAGTAACATGGCTAGCTAGTCTTTGGCGTCTACCTATCATGCTATGTAGATGGACAATATGTACTCTCGCCATGTATTCTTTTTCTTGGTCTTTTTCCCTTGTTCTTTTTCACGTCTTCTTTTCTTTTCCCACTCTGCAAAAGGGAAGAATATCTCACCGGAAATTTAGATTGCAGCATGCGGGTAGGGTAGGCTTTATCACGGGGTTTACTTGATAGGTAGTCAAACACTGGTTTTTTTCTCTCTCTCTCTCTCTCTCTCTTTATACCTATGATATAACATGCTGTCACACGTACACGCACATTCATAAGATATGACTACATTACCACCTCTCTCTCATGTCCTATTCATCCCGTTTGACGCGGGGAAAAAATAGACACTCACATATACCCACCCCACATACATGCATACAAAGACACATACATATTCCCCGATGCAAGTACCCAAAAAAGAAAGAGTTGGTGAAGCGGGAAAGGGTCCACGCTTCCTTTCTATCCTTTCCTGTCTTTGATAGACAAATCAATTAACAAAGACAATAAAAGAAAAGAAAAAGAAAAGAAGAAGATTTCAATGCTCAACCCGTCGTTGTAGAAAAAAAAACATGTAGTAGTAGTATCTGCGGCCATGATTTTCCCTCCCAAAAAAGAAAAGAAAAGAAAAGAAAAGAAAAAAAAGCCTCCGCAAACCAGATCCACATGATACAAACGACACAAAACAGACACGCAGACGTGTGTGTGTGGTTGAGAAGAACGACTTTGCTTTTCGTTTCTTTTTTTTAATTCCTTTTCCTCCTCTCTCTCTCTCTCTCGCTATCTCTAAAACTTAAAAGTGCTCTTTTTGCGCCCTAGACTGAAGCGATTCCGGCCGTCCTTCTCATGTGACTCATGTGTTGGAGTGTCTGGTGGGTTGTGCTCGTCGGCGCTTCCGTCCTTGTCTTTGTGTGCGGACCAGAACTTGGGCTTGGTCTTGAGGCTGATGGATGTGTGCCTGAATCGATTGAGCCCGCTCATTCCCTTTACATGGCCAAAGCCATTGACATGCTTTTCTTTGTCTCCACCAAGGACTGCGACTGGTGCTGGTGCTGGTGATGGCGATGGCGATGGCACTTCACCGCTTGCAACGCGCTTCTTCTCCTCTTCGACGGCAGACGCCTTGCTGGCCTCTAGTACTGCCCTAAGCTCTTCTTCCTGCTTGCGATAGTTTTCGCGCCTTTGTATTTCCATCTCCCGTCGCTTCTGCTTTGCTTGCCTCTCAAGCTCCTTTTCGTGCGCCTTGCGCTCTTTCTTCTCCTTTCCTTTTTCAAAAAGCCCCAGGTTGCTCTTGCGCGGAGCAAGTGCAGGGACATGAGTTGTCGTGTGCTCGACTGGGGGGGTTTCGACATTCGTTTCGACATGTGCTACGGCTGGTGCGGTAGCAGCGTGGGCGAGACTGGCGAACTTGTCGGCTTCTTCGACCGAGGGTGTTGTTGCATTGTGAAAGACGTGATATGGCGTGCCGTTTGTGCCGTTTTGTTTTGGCGTGGTGACGTCTTCTTGCGCCATTTTGGCTGCTTGCTCTGCTGCCGCCAATGCATCCGCTTCCTGCTCCTTCATCATTGCCTCTTCTGTTGTTTCCTGGTAGAACAAGACATATGCACAGGCCAAAACGTTCTCTCCGCCAAAAAAGTTCCTGACATAGGCCTTGTCTACTGGCTCCACCATCTCGTCGTCAAACAAGAGCCAGCCGCGGTCTTGCGTCTTGATAATGGATACATAGTGGCCGTGGTAGGGACCACCTCCAATGTGTACGACTACGGCATATAGTTCGTATAGCCTGTCCGGGTCTTCGGCGTCGTCTGTGGTGTTGAATAGCCGAAGATAGAAGGGGTACACCACACGATGAAACAGTTTCTGCAACCGCTGAAGATCCTCGGTGTACTTGAAGCGCTTAAGATGCAGAGCGAGAATCTTGGGTAACCGCTTAATCTTCATCCTCTTCTCAGCCTCTTGCAGACCTCCGCAGTTGTCGCAGTGGAACTTGTTCCGCTCGCACAGCATTTCTTCTTCGGAAAATTTTCGTAAGCAGCTTGTTACTGACGAGTGTTGCTCCAGATCGACAGAGAGATCGAGGAATGCCTCGTCTCGTTGTGACGTATTTTCGCATGTGAGACAGCGGGTTTCAGAGGTCAAGGTGCCCTCGAACAGTTCGTGGACCCATCCAGAATTGGACTTGGTAGAGGTCACAGAACTACGTGCGGGCACTACGTCGCCTGATGTCACCGTCGTTCTGTCGTCGTCCTCTTCGGCGGCGCTGGCTTCGGCCAAGCGTGTTTTTGAAAAGTGCTCAACATTCTCCACCACCTCGTTCAGAAGTAAATTTAGAAACTCATGCGCGTCCTGGTGCATCGGTGTTCGGAACATTTCATTGTCTCGGCGTAAGATTTCCAGGAGCTTGTGTGGGCTGACGACGCCTATGCGTGACCTGTGTGCGATAATGGCCTCGAATATGTCTTTGAGCGACGAAAATAGCGACTCGTTCATGCCATATGAATTTGCATTCTCATAGTCCATTTGCAGGACTGGGCCGGCTGCCAAGGCCTGCTTCTTCTTGTACTCGGGGGAGTCCTTGTTGTCCTCGGGCTTGATGCCCGGAGGCTGGTTTGGCGCTCCAGGCGTGGCTGGTTTTACGGGTGCTTTTGAAGTGGGGCTAGAGACTGAGGTGCGGCCTGCTGGCGAGAGAGCGGTGCTCTGGCCATTGGTGAGGTTGGTGTTGAGCCTGGGCAGGCTCGACTCGGGTCTTTCGAGGGCTTCTGGGGGCGAGCGAGCGGGGAAGTTGATGACCTGTTCTCGGAAGGGGACTGAGTAGTAGAGACATTGGACTATCGAGTTGCAGTAGCTGGGCGAGAGTAAGCATTGGGTGCGTGGGTGGGTGCATGTGCGTGAACATACCATGTGCTTCCAAACTAGAAGGACGGCGGCGCGGTTAGCAGACGGAGTTCCGAAGCGCATTCACGCAACAGGCAGACTCACATTCTCGAAGCCAAAAAACTTGTCACTGCCGTCGGCGCGCACAGGGCCGGCATTGACGAGCAGCTTCTCGAGGGGCGTGGCCTCTGGCGCGTTGGCATCTTTCCTGATGGGCATGGTGCCGGGCGCCGGGCTCAAGGGCGGCTGGGATGCGCGTCAGTACGGAGGCATTGCCGAGGGGCCGGGCGGCGGCGACATGGGACGAGATGGACTTACAGCGCCCGACTTGATGCGACTGAAAAAGGAAGTCATGGCTGGCGTGTCTGGGGGGCGCGGGCGCAGGCGCAGGCGCCGGGTGAGCGTGGGGGAGTTGGGGAGGGTGTGTGATGGTGGCAGGCGGCGTTCAAGCGGCAGAGGGGGGGAACGGGCCCAGCGAGTGCTCGCAGGCCGAGGGCAACATGGAGAAACGAGCGGAGCGGGCGTCAGTGAGGGTCGGGGAGGAAGAGGAGGAGGAGGTGTGTTGGGAGAGCGGCGTGGGAAGCAGGCAGGCAGGCAGGCAGGCAGGCAGGCAGGCAAGCAGGCAGGCGCTGGGCAGTGGCAGGCAGGGCAGGCAGAGCCGGAGCCGAGGGCAAGGCTTGGACGGACACGGACGTGGGACTGAACAGGACAGGCAGAGGCGGCCAGCGAGAGGCCGGCCAGTTCCCCACGACCCGGCACCCTCGACCCCGCCACGAGGAAACGGGAACGGAGCTAGCCCTGGCAGCTAGCAAAACTAACGCTGCTGCCACCAGTTCTCCCACCCAATGCACACGCGCGCAACAGCAGCCTGCCACGGCCGCTGGTGGGGCGCGGTGCCGGCGAACATGCACAGAACAATCGGCTGCTGCTGTACCTACATATGTGCCCGTCGCCCGGCCGCCCCGAGACACTGGCCCGACACATCATCATCATCAGCATCATGATGATGCTGGTGGTGAGGAGGGAGAGCATGACGGCGGCGAGGGCAATTCAGGCCCTCCGCCCTCCGCCCTCGGCTCTCGTGCTCGCACCACTCAGGCCCAGGCGCCGCGTCTGGCTCGCTCGCGTGGCGCTTGTTGGCGGCAGTCGCCCGCCGCCCATTGGCCCGCCCCCCGACAGGCTTCTAGCGCCTTCCCCGTACGCTGGTTCGTGACAGGCATATCTCCCGCTCTGCTGCCTCCGCCCACGGCACACACACACACGCACCAACACAGCGACAGCCACGACACCACTGCCCTTGACTGGCACCCGCACCCGCACCACCGCCAGCTGCCACCATCGCCATCACCACCACTACTACTACTACGGCGCGGCTGCTGTGGCCTCGTCTCGTCCACGTCGCCCCTCTTTTCCTTTCTTTTTGCTTCTTCGTTGTCGTGGAGCCAGCACACCGCTATTGACGTCACAAGGCACACGTCCGCGCCTGCCTGCAGCCACCACGAGACCTCCTTCCCGTCTTTATGCACAATGCAACTACGCCTCCCCCACTCGGAGCAGCCAAGCAATGCCTCTAGTCAGCCGCCCCCAATACGGGCCAGTATCAATTATTCTCCATCTATCGCGACACGCACACAACACTCAACCACGCCACCCCCCTCTCAGCTCCGCCCCCCGACCCCTCCAAAGGATACCAAGCCACCCACAAACACCCACAAATGCTAATGCTGCCTCGTTACACGCAGTCACACAACAACAACATGGAAGAATACACCCAGCTAATATCAACTTCCGCCACATCACGCCCTGCGCACCCGCTTACCAGCCCCCAGCTCAATCGCCGTCCGGCTGTTGAGAATCAGCTCCTCGTTGCCCCCCTCGGGCGGGTTTGCCTGAATGTACTCGCGCCGTATTCGCGCCGCCTCCTTGTCCCATGCCACAACCCTCTCCTTGAAGTCGGCTGCACTGGCCGTCGCGTCCTCTCGTGCGCTGCTTGCCTGCTCCAGATACGGCTGCTTGACGTCTTGCTCGGCCGTGCGCCATTTCAGCCCCACGGCATTGCGAATCTCCTGCTTGGGCGCTTTGGCTTCAGGGTTGCCGCTCTTGGCTCGATGTGCTTCGTCGCACTCTTGCTTGCAAACATACCAAAAGTCTTTTGTGAACAACAGAAACGGGTTGACCCCCGCACGCCCTGGCTTGATCGGTCGCTCGCCAATTTGTTCCAAGATGGCGCCTATAATGGCCGCTTCGTAGTCTTCGTCGCGCTGCATCCGTCCAGCCTTTGTGTCTTTGGCCGGCCCAACAGCCGGCTCAAATCGACGTTTTGATTCCGACGTAGGCGTCGTCCACGCCTCGCTCTTGACGCTCTTCTTCTCCACAAGCGGGCTGGCTATTTCAATGGGCCCAAGTACCCTCTCGGCAACCTCTGCAGCCACCCGGAGGCCTGACAGGTATGCCCCGTGCACGGTTGCAGGATGCGTGCCACACGTTGCTTCGCCAGCGAAATGCAATGGCCCGTGTGCACGTGCCATGACATCGTAGTCGCCTGTTTGAGTCTTTGGCCCGACGTACGAGTAGCTGCCGCGCGCAAACGGATCCTTCTTCCACCGTGTGACAATGGCTTCCGAAGGCAGCGGTACAGTGTTCGGTGCAAACATGGCGTCGAGTCGGTCCGTCACCTCTTTGACAAGCTGGTCGTTGGACGTCTCTTCGGCGTAGTGCGCCGCCTCGCCTGCCATGAGCGCTACCAGCACTGGCTTCCCACTCGTCTTGATGCAATTCCAGAACAGATAGAACCGCCCTCGTCTTGCAGAGTAGTCCTCTGGCTGCATGCTGGCCGCACGCTCTGCCTCGTTGAGCAGACCAAACATGTCTCGATCCGGTTCCCAGAACGCCTTCTCATACACGAGAACAATCTGTGGCTGTTGTGAGAAAGCGCTGCGCTGAGCGAGTGAGTATACTGACCTTGTTCAAAAGTCCGAACCCCATGCGTTCAATCACATCCTGCTTCCAGCTAGGAAGTGGAGGTTCGAACTGGACCGATCCCGATTTTAGTACGCCTAGAGGTGTCGTGAGGACAACATGATCTGCTTCAAACGTTTCGCCATTGGTGCACTCGATCCTCACAGCTTTGCCTATTCGCTGCTCTTCAATGTCGTAGTGTACAGTCTTGACAGGCGTATTGAAGCGTATGTCCAATTTGCTGGGACATTGCCACAGCCCGCGCGGGACCTGCTGGTAACCCCCTATCACCTGGCTGTGCTCGCCCTCGAATTCATTGCCTATATCCTGGTCCCACCCGCTCAGGCTGAGCTGGTTTACGCTTACGGCATTCGCATACTCGAGGTTGGCATGGTGCCAGCTGAGTAGGCGCATGTCTCTAGGCTTGAGGTCGACCAGCGACTGGTACTGGCGAAATCCCTCATCCATTGTCTGCCCCAAGGTAGGATATTCCGAAGCTTTTGCAATCGTGTCGAGGTCGAGTGTTTGCGCCTCCGTCGCGCCCGACTTCAGCTTCCATCCCATGTTCTGCACAGTCTTTGCCGCTGTGACATCAGGATCAAACCCAGCGCTGAGCTGGTATGCTCTCCCTGCCAGCTTTTCCACCCCAGTCGTTGGCTTTTCTTGCTTCGTTGATGCTGTGCTTGCCGCATCTGCTGGCAAAGGAGCTTCGGATTCCTCCAGCTCTGCAACGGTAGGTCCGCCCACATCGGCTGGCTCACGGCCAAAAGCCATCAGGTTGCGATTGCCCTCTACTGTCCTATGCGCCACTGGTTTGTTTCTGTATACGGCCGCTCGTTCGAGCACATCGTTGTACAGCTTCTCCACGAGTATGTCTTGACTCCTCTCGACAACAGTGCCGTCATAGTCGTATAATATTGTGTTGTCGCGTAGGCCATGATACGGTAGGCCCAGCTGGCCTCGGATAATCGCGTTGAGCGGATTGCCGTGCTCGTACCCTGTCACAATCTGCGCCCCCATTTCCGCCGTGCAACGATGCCCAGACGGTAGTGTCGAGCCCGATTGGTTCAAGAAAGGATGCGAATACACCCGCCCACCAACGCGTGGACGGGCCTCGAGGATGACGATTTTTGGCGATCGCTCTCCCGCATCTGCCAGTTGATCTCCGAGCTGCGCAAACACTCCCTCGAGGTGCCGTGCGCACCCCAGCCCCGACATGCCGGCACCAACTACTACAATGGTCCGTCGCGGTGCCGTCTTGGCCTTGGCCTTGGAAAGCGTGCCCGTTTTGCTAGGCACTTCAACGCAACCAAAGTTGATGTATCCATGTCTCATAAGCCACATGTATGCCACCTTTGCCAGACCGAAATAGCGCTTGTCACGCGCGCATCCGGCCGCCTCTTCGAGGGATACATACACCAGGGGGTTGCGATGCCACAATCGAAGAATTGCGTTTCTGATATTCAGATAGACGGTGACCTGGACATGCGTGATGTGCTCACGTAACAGCTTGTACTCGGCGGCATGTAAAGTGAATGGATTGAGTCGGCTGTTCTCTGCTGCTAGAATGCACTGCCGGCCAAATTCGGGCCATGAAAGGTCTGCCGGTATGCTTGAATTCGCTTTCAACTCGGCTACCTTCCCTTTTGCAGGGAAGGAATTTGTCCTGCGATGCTTCTTCGACTGTTCGTGTGATTGTGGAAGCTCAGGAGTCGACGAGGCGTGTGATTGGCGGCTCAGACTCTGCGGTGTTCCTGCCATGAATGCGCTATCTCCCTGATGGCCCTTTAATGATAGCTGTACTGTGGCGTCGTTTCGGTTGATAGAAGTATGCAAAACGTCGTTTTGCTGAGCGGTCTGCTTGTGATCAGCATTAGTCATACCGTTGGCGGCCGAGCCAGGGGTAAATGGATGCTGCAGCGGCGATGGAGTGTAGTTGGCGGCATATCCATTGCCAAATGTGCCTGGAGTAGATCCCTCCCCCTCGTGACTTGTGCTGGGTTCAGATGTATCGTGCGAATCGCCGTAGTGCACGGACGACGCACTCGACTCGCGGCCGTAGCTCAAATGACCAAAGCCAGACACAGGTGCGATACCCTCTTTTATATCCATACCATCATTGGACATGGGCAATGACAGCAAGCCATCGTGGTTCTGGTCGAACAGGTACGAGCCGTCATCGAGTGCGGTGGGATCGGCTGTGGATGCGATGGAGAACATGTTGGTAAAAGATCCGACGAGGCAAGACGGGAGGCACCTGACAAGCAAGCGGCTACACGGCCGCAGTCAGTGCTTGGCCTCACAGTCGCAGCAAGACTTCTGTGGCTGGTGGGAGATGGGGTCGTATTGTGCCGAGCATGAGGGATCTTGTTGAACTTGGAGGCGATGCGGTGGAAGGATGCAGGTAGGTGATGGGCCGATGCCCAGGCTTGTGGAGGTTGAGGCACGAAAAGACGCGCACCATTCCGACCTAGGCAAACGCCGTCTAGGCCAACCCGGTCATTCTCGACTTCATCCCTCTCCATCACCCCCCAGGCCGCTCTCCACGCCTCGTCATCGCGACAATGAAATCATGCAAGGATAGGATTTGATGGTTAATGCGCAGCTTGGCGAAGCGCCGTTGTTCGCTCTGGACGACCCCGCTCGTACGGAAGCGAACATCACTGCCACACGTCGCCATGCGAACCTCTAGCCATCTTCATCAACACGTGTAGGGGGGCCTGCAACAGGAGTCTAGGCGTGTACATGGCATGCATAGAGCAAGTGGTCAGTACAATGTAGCGCGCATATTGATGCTTGGACTGAAGGCTGATGAAGCTATGCAGAGCCCGATTCTTGCGCAACCCCTTCTCATCAAACCCCGTACTGCGATCGTGGCACCCATCAACCGAACCTTGCCTACTTCGTATAGCAGCATCGGTTGCTCACATTTTGCAATCTATTTGATTTCCATGAGTGATTTCGATGCTGAAGCAGCGGGTTACACAATGCAGTAGAGTACATTGTACTCACCGCCTATACACACCAGCCTACGCAGATTTCCATCGGAATCCTGTCCATGGTGATTGACTGATTCATTACTTGGAAGTCCTAATAGAAAATATCTTGTAGGGCATACGGACTGGCGAATCCCAGGGCTGAAGTGGTAGGGCATGGTCTGGTTTGACTATTCATATAAAGGTTGAGCGGTGTTCTGGTACGGCAGTTCCGCCAATGAGCATTCACAACAGTAAACTCTATGCTTGTATGGATGCGGATGATACATCTCTTGGATAGTCTCAACTCGAGTGACTGGTTACTCAAAGAGAACCCGATAACCAGCCCCAATATAGCGACAGTGGTAGTCGTGACTTGTATCTACAGTCCTAACCTTCGATAAGCTTATTATTTAAAGGGCAATTTTCAAAAGACAGCCGGTGCCAATAGCTTCCTTCATTATAATCGAATGAATATGTTCGATGCTCACAAGGTTGTAAGGAGCTTCGTTTCTTCATTTCTACTATGCGTCGCGATTTGGTGGCATAGGCTGTAGCTTTGTTCAATTTCAACCATTATCATTATACAAAACAAAACAGTGGTCATACTATGAAAAGCATAAGATACGAATAGAAGTTCAATCTTTACCACCTGATTATTATATAGCAGAGTGCTTGTATCATCATCATGGAGATAATCACGTGCCCAACCACGCTAGTCGACTTGCCGCGTCGATAACGCTGTGCGCTTCCACCAACACACCGTCTCCCGCTGTCTACTCAGACAATTTCCAACGCGCGACCTCGCATTCAAAACAATGCGATGGCCTTGGTCAGGCGACGACGATGAGCAGAAGGAGAGCGGTCTCCCTTCATGGGGCTCGGCAGCAGAATCGACGGATGCTGCAGGGTCGTGGATGGAACCGCGGACCCTGATTCCATCTCTCGTGTTCACGGCATCGATGGTTGCTGCCGCCCGCTTCTACAAGAGCTACCTGCGAAGGATACCAACAGTTAATCACATCAAACCAGACTACTTCCGCCGCAGAAGTCTGTTGGGCCAAGTCACGAGTGTAGGAGACGCAGATAATTTCAGGCTGTACCACACTCCAGGCGGGAGGATGGCAGGATGGGGCTGGCTACCTTGGAAGAGGGTGCCTACCAGAAAAGAGGACTTGGGCAAACAGACGGTCAGTATTGCTCAGCGACTAGGCCCGATTGACACAGTCTCCGGCTTACTTGGACGGCCATGAGATCAGCCACTGACCAAAAGCATAGCTTCACATAAGAATCGCTGGGGTCGACGCGCCTGAACTGGCACACTGGGGTCGGGAAGCGCAGCCGTTTGCAAAAGAAGCACATGACTGGCTCACGGGCTTCATCCATCACCGCCGCGTACGCGCATACATCTACCGACGAGATCAGTATGATCGCGTGGTAGCGCAGGTCCATGTGCGGAAATGGCTTTCCAAGAAAGACGTGGGATTGGAGATGCTGAAGGCGGGGCTGGCGACAGTATACGAGGCAAAGTCGGGAGCCGAGTTTGGCGATGTTGAAGAGGAGTACCGGGCTGCTGAGAAGAAGGCTCGGGAGAGCCAGGTGGGCATGTGGGCCAAGCCGAGCATGAGAAAGCGACTGAGCGGCGGGCCGGCAAAGACACTAGAGAGCCCGAGAGAGTACAAGGCTCGGCATAGCGCAGCAGAGAAAATGAAAAAGGCTGGATAGGACGTGTCGTGCTGGAAGCAGCACCTCGATGAGAGGGCCATGTGCGTGTCTAGGCGCCCGAGTAGATCGGTGCTGCGATCGTGATGGCTCGTTACCACGCATGCCCCCGGCCCAAAACCAGGAAGAGGTGACCACGATTTGGCCGCACGGCCCGACAACCCCACAGAGCGGCTCGAAAAACTTGAGGCCCATCGATGACTGTGCTCCAAAAGCTGTGCGTGTTGCTGGGCCGCTCCACGATGCCAGCAGAATGAGGTCTAGGGCTGGCCTCGCGCTGAATCATACGAGCCATGGCCACCATGGCCACAGTACCAATGAGGCGTGGACGGGGGCCTCGAAGCAGTCAAGCAACGCCGATTCCAGCGCGCTAGGATGCCCATGCTAGCACCTGTATGACTGTATTGAGAAAACCTGTGCGGCACGACGTCGAAATTTCTGCTCATCGGCGCTGCGTGCCAGGACGTCGGAGAGTCCATCTTCGGCGCCGCAATCGGTCCTCCGCATGGAAGCGTCTTCGCGACCAAGACGCGGCAACAGACTGGCAATGCTGGCACTGGCATACGGCTCGTGTCGTTGTTGACTCACTGGGCGCCGGGCGCGCGAGCATTTGAACTCGCACGCCGGCCTCGAAAGCGCTGCATTGCATCACTTGTCTTTCTGCTGCGTCGTGCATGATCGTCGCCCGTCTTATCTGTGCGTTATCGGAGAGCCAGTGATTGGCCCGTCGCGCATCACTGGAATTTTTTGGTTGCCCGCGTTGCAGCTTTCCCCACAGATTGCTCATATACCCTGAGAGAGTCATTCGTGCTCTGGCTCTGCTAGGGTCGAGCTATTCTTTTCCAATTCCTCTCCACGGCCACCGAGCGACCTTTTTCAGCGCGTGCGTCGCCCTTCTTTGCCGCCCCCCCCCCTCCTCCATCGAGCTCAACGCTCTCAAGCCGCCTGTCCGCCTGCAAATGGCTCTCTGCGGGCGTCTAGCACGTCGCGTACCCGTCCTCACAGGTCAAACCCGCTCAATTGCATCTCCCACATGCTCGCGGGCCTTCACAGCCAGGGCCGCTAGGCCGCTGGCCTCTCTGCGCTCCAGCAGCGAGTCTCCTGCAGTCTACCGGCAGCTGCGGGCATTCACAAAGGTCGCCTCTACATGGAACAAGACCCAGACCGCACCTAATGCCGAGGCATACCTAAAGAGCGGCGTCATTTCTGGCGCACAGGACCTGGTCGACGTCAAGAAAGTCTTGGTCATTGGCAGTGGTGGTCTCAGCATTGGCCAGGCCGGAGAGTTTGACTACTCAGGTGCGCAAATCCTCTGGCAGAAAAAAAAATCATGGGACATGACGCCATACTAATCCAATTCTAGGCTCACAAGCACTCAAGGCCCTGAGGGAAGCTGGCGTCAAGTCTGTTCTGCTCAACCCCAACATTGCTACTATCCAAACATCCCACGTGCTCGCTGACGAAATCTACTACCTGCCTGTAACTCCCGAATACGCCGAATATGTCATCCAGAAGGAGAAGCCCGACGGCATCTTCCTCAGCTTTGGTGGCCAGACTGCGCTGAACCTGGGTGTCCAGATGGATGCCAAGGGCATTTTTGAAAAGTATGGTGTCAAGGTGCTCGGTACCAGCGTCCAGACTCTCAAGACGAGCGAGGACCGTGATCTCTTTGCCCGTGCTCTCGACGAAATCAACATTCCCATTGCCAAGTCGATTGCCGTGTCTTCCGTCGACGAGGCACTGGACGCTGCCGAAAAGGTCGGATACCCCATTATTGTGCGCGCTGCCTATGCGCTCGGTGGTCTTGGTTCTGGTTTTGCAAACAACCCCGAGGAGTTGAAGAACCTCTCGGCTCGTTCCCTCTCACTGTCGCCCCAGATCTTGGTCGAGAAGTCGCTCAAGGGCTGGAAGGAGGCCGAGTACGAGGTCGTGCGTGATGCCAGTGACAACTGCATCACAGTCTGCAACATGGAGAACTTTGATCCTCTTGGTGTGCACACGGGTGACAGTATCGTTGTATCGCCCAGTCAAACGTTCAGCGACGAGGAGTACCACATGCTCCGGTCTGCGTCCATCAAGATTGTCCGACACTTGGGTGTCGTTGGAGAGTGCAACGTGCAGTACTGCTTGCAACCAGATGGCCTCGACTACCGCGTCATTGAAGTCAATGCTCGTCTCTCTCGTTCGTCTGCGCTCGCGTCCAAGGCAACTGGCTACCCTCTGGCTTACACTGCAGCCAAGATTGGTCTGGGCCACACGCTTCCCGAGCTGCCAAATGCCGTTACCAAGACCACAACCGCAAACTTTGAGCCTAGTTTGGACTATGTCGTCACCAAGATGCCTCGCTGGGACCTTAGCAAGTTCCAGAATGTCAAGCGTGACATTGGCAGCTCTATGAAGTCGGTTGGTGAGGTCATGGCGATTGGTCGTACATTCGAGGAGTCTTTCCAGAAGGCCTGCCGACAAGTCGATCCCAAGTACCTCGGTTTCCAGGGTGAGAAGTACGGCGAGAACCTCGACGAGGAGCTCAAGAACCCTACTGATCGCCGCTGGCTGGCTGTTGGTCAAGCTCTGTACCACGAAGGCTACTCGGTCGACAAGGTCCACGAGCTCACCAGGATTGACAAGTGGTTCCTGCACAAGCTCCAGAACATTGTTGACTGCACACACGAGCTCGAAAAGATTGGCAGCCTGTTTGGCCTGAAGAAGGAAATCATCCTCAAGGCCAAGAAGCTTGGTTTCTCCGACAAGCAGATTGCAAAGGCAGTCAACAGCACAGAAGACGAGGTCCGCGCTCGCAGGACAGGCTTTGGCATCAGGCCATGGGTCAAGAAGATTGATACTCTGGCTGCTGAGTTCCCCGCAAACACCAACTACCTCTACACCACCTACAACGCCTCGTCGCACGACGTCACCTTTGACGACCACGGTGTTCTCGTTCTGGGCAGCGGTGTCTACCGTATTGGAAGCTCGGTCGAGTTTGATTGGTGCGCTGTCAACGCTACCCGCTCTTTGAACGCACTCGGCAAGAAGACTGTCATGATCAACTACAACCCAGAGACCTACAGTACCGACTTTGACGTTGCTGACAAGCTCTACTTTGAGGAGCTCAGCTACGAGCGTGTCATGGATATCTACGAGCTCGAGACTGCCAGCGGTGTTGTCGTCTCAGTCGGTGGTCAGCTTCCCCAGAACATTGCTCTGAAGCTGCAAGAGTCTGGCAAGGCAAAGGTTCTCGGAACTGATCCTCGCGACATTGACAAGGCCGAGGACCGCCACAAGTTCTCTTCCATCCTCGACTCGATTGGCGTGGACCAGCCGGCTTGGAAGGAACTCACCTCGTACGACGACGCGAAGAACTTTGCAAACTCGGTCGGATACCCGGTTCTCGTCCGCCCGTCGTACGTTTTGTCCGGCGCTGCCATGACGGTCATCCGTGGCGAGGATGAGCTCAAGGAGAAGCTCCTTGCTGCTTCCAACGTGTCGCCCGACCACCCGGTTGTCATCACCAAGTTTATCGACGGTGCCCAAGAGATTGACTGCGATGCTGTCGCCTCCAACGGAAACGTCCTGGTCCATGCCATCAGTGAGCACGTTGAGAACGCTGGTGTCCACTCTGGTGACGCCACTCTTGTCCTGCCACCCGTTAACCTCGACAAGCGCATCCAAGAGCGTGTCAAGAAGATTGCCGACAAGGTTGCCAAGGCCTGGAACATTACCGGTCCCTTCAACATGCAAATCATCAAGGAGGAGGTCGAGGGCTCCGAGCCCAACCTCAAGGTTATCGAGTGCAACCTCCGTGCTTCTCGTTCATTCCCCTTTGTCAGCAAGGTTCTCGGTACCAACTTTATCGACGTTGCTACAAAGGCTCTTGTCGGCCGCGACGTCCCTCAGCCCACTGACCTTATGAGCGTAGAGAGGAACTACCTCGCCACCAAGGTTCCCCAGTTCTCCTGGACCAGGTTGGCCGGTGCCGATCCCTACCTCGGTGTAGAGATGTCGTCGACTGGTGAGATGGCCTGCTTTGGCAAGGACCTTGTCGAGGCCTACTGGGCGTCAGCACAATCGCAGATGAACTTCCGCCTTCCCCAGCCGGGCGAGGGTCTGTTGTTCGGTGGTGATGTCACGCCTGGCTCGCTCCACTCCAACTCTCTGATCCAGATTGCCAAGTACGTGCACGCGCTTGGCTACAGGTTCCTTGCTGCCAACAACGACGTCAAGAAGCTTCTGGAGAAGAACACCGAGGGTCTCAGTGTCGAGGTTATTGAGTTCCCCAAGGACGACAAGAGGAAGCTGCGTGAGGTGTTTGAGAAGTACGATATCCGCGGCTGCTTCAACCTGGCCAAGTACCGGGCGAACGGTCTGCTGGACGAGGACTACGTAATGAGGAGGAATGCGGTCGATTTTGGCGTGCCGCTATTCATGGAGCCCAAGGTCAGTTTGCTCTATATGATTGATGATCTTCGCTAATATGATGTAGACTGCGGTGCTGTTTGCTCAGTGCATGAGCGAGAAGCTTCCCAAGAAGGAGGGTATCCCAAGTGAAGTCAGGTCATGGAGCGAGTTTGTCGGTGGCCGACCATTGTAAAAGGATTGAAAAAAAAAGAGTACTGGGGTGTAACATGTAGCCGAAGCTGACCCTTGGATTGGGTCTATTTCAAAGGAAAAACGGACTGGGATAAAGATTATGTTCTCATGTGTATAATGTTGTCAGCCCACGATCGACTGCGTGTGCAGTGGCGTGTCGTGATGCTGCCTTTGTTTGGCTTTGGAAATTCATCGAATCTACGAAAATCTGACTTGTTATTTTGGATGTGTTGTGCTATGAATATGCGTGAATGTGTGTAGTGCATGTTTTGTGACAGCGCAAGGGGAGCAACTACTCGTGTTCATGATACCTATGTTGCAGTTGGCAGGTCACACCCAGCCAAGGGTACTGATAAGATGCCTATATATGCGTTTGAGTCTAGAGATACAGGACGACATCTGGAGGTTAGTCGAGACGAGGGCGAATTCAAGACTTGATTGGAGTTGGCAGGTGGATTCTGCGGCGTTGTTGGTATGATAGATAATAAATAGTCTTGATGACTTGTCGTTTGATCTGCGAGTCCATGATCGAGTCTGTATGTAGTTTATTTAGCAACAAACATTACAGCTTGCATAGAGTACTCGAAACCGAGAAGAAATGCATACAACGAAATCAACACAGAAAAAAAAAGGCAACAAAATTGTCAGTCGATTGAACATGGCGTGTTCTCCATCCGCAGCTAACGACCATCGCTTAGCGCCACACGTGACCTCCACACGCGGAGAATCTCCACACTCGACGCAAAAAAAAGAGTCCCAAAAGATATGAAGGGAGCCTTTGCAAAAAAGACAAAAAGAAATGCTTTCCGACACCGGGAATCGAACCCGGGCCTTGCCGGCACTGTTGAGAAACAAGTGAACTGACTCTGCGAGTGAGAGCGGCAAATCCTAGCCACTAGACCATATCGGATTGATGGGAAGTTGGAAAGTTAGATAGAAAATGTAGTATGGCAAATACTTGGAAATCAGAGCTTGATTTTTTCGAGGTAGAGATGGTCACTATCGGCATTAAAATAGCGTCAGTACTTTGAGGGAAGTCATGAGGAACGTGGGCCACATGTCAGAAACAGCGACGATTCAAATATCTGCATTGATTGATGTGTAATTATCACATGTTCAAAACTTCAAAAAAAAAGAAGAAGAAGAAGAGGAGGCAAGCAAGATTAAAAAAAAACCAACGAGCATTGATTTGAGTGCCCAAGTTCAAGATATGGAAAAGTGAAAGGTGTAAAGGAAAAAGGAAAAGGAAGAAAAAAAAACCGCCATCACCCGCGCGCGGTCTTTCCATGCCCCCGGTTTCCCCCGTGATCGATGAACGCCCGCTACTATGATTTTCGGAAACGGCAACACACAACACAACTACTACACAACTACATAACTACTCTTACACCACGCACCACGCACCACGCACCACGCACCACGCCACGCCACGCCACGCCGATGCTCACGAGAACTTCCACCGGTTTCCGCAGTTCATGCACTCGCAAAAGGTCGTCATCGGTTCGTCGGCAGACCGCGTCTGTGCCTGGCTGTAGCTGACCTTCTTCTGCTTGCACTTGCCGCACTGGAACTCCTTGGAAATGGCCTTTTCGACCTGTGCCACCATGGCCTGGTTCATGTTTTCCTTTTCCAGCTTCTCGTCCTCGGCTCGCCGGGCGTCCGACTTCATCTCATCGTGTGTCATGACGACAAACTTCTTGGCAGTGATTTCGCCCATGAGGACGCGCTTGCGGAGTTGGGGATTTGACTTGTTCTTGAGGTTCTGGAAGAGCGCCTCGATTCTGAAACTGCTCAACGACCTCAAGTCTGGCGTCCATGCTACCGAGGACCTCTTGCGCTCAACAAGGATCGGTGTCACCATCAACCGTTTGCGTACACACAAGGACCCTGCCGTGCAAAAACTGGCGACAGAACTAGTGGCAAAGTGGAGGGACGAAGTCAAGAAGAAGCAGCCAGCCAAGAAGGATGGCCCGGCAAAGGCAGCCGCAAATGGCGCTTCGACATCGTCACCCGCTCCTCCACCATCAGGCACCGCGTCTCCTACACCCAGCCAGGCCAAGAAGAAGCACGATGTGCCCTCTGACAAACGCAACCACAAGACGGACAAGGTCAAGTACCAGGTTACCGGCAACGAGGCACGCGACAATTGCGTCAGGCTGATGTACGACGGTCTGGCTTTTATGAGCGAAGCGAGTAAGTATAGCAAGGCAACAGATAATGGGCTCTGCTGACCCTCCACCCCCCCCCCCCCAGTGCCCGACGAAATCCTCGGCGTGGCAAGGCAGGTCGAAGCGGCAGCCTACAGCAACGCTGGCAGCGTAAACGATGCCTACAAGGGCAAGATGCGGTCGCTGGGCTCGCCTTCTGCTACAGCTTTGCCGATGGCCTTTCCGCGGAGCTCAATCTCCTTCGCATCCATTGCCATGGTGAAGGTGGTGGTGTTTTGGAGAGTGACGACAGGCGCAGAACCGTGGATGCTTTCGCAAGGTCGAGACTCGGATGTCCGTCACCGTCGAGACTGAAAGGGCCTCGTTTTTTTTTGCACAATTACTTGGACTGCTGCGGCGTTTGCGCTGGGGGATTGTGACTGGGTTGGTGTTGTGACGGGTGAGGCAGGGAGTCGGCGCGGGGCGGTATGTCGCGTCCAGACGAGGCGGGCGCAACTAGCGGAGGCGAAGACGGTCAGGGTGCGTACGGGTGACGTTGACAAGGGCTATTTGGACGAGAGGAGGAGGCGTGGCGCGATTTCATCCTCGATTGCGATCTGGAAGTTGCGTTTCCTCAAAGCGGGCCCGAGCTCAGGGACGCTAGCCTCCGCGCGTTCACCAGAGGTAAACCGCGACTTGTCGAACTACCAAACCGCAGATCCGGTACACGCACGCGACATTGCTACGGCAAGAAGTTGGCACAATCGCACACGACGCTACAGAGACTTCACAATGACGGAAAATGCGCCCCCAGGCAGCGGCAATAATGCGAGCACAGACAGCTCGCGCGGCATGCCCTACTACGAGCGACTGCGACGGGACCTCCGCGAATCGCTGAACAAGAAGCGCTTGATCGATAACAATCTGGTCAGTACAAAGACACGACGCGTGATGCAGTGTACATGCTGACCCTGGGGGGGGCAGCTGCAACTCGAAGATAACATCCTGCGAGTCGAAACGCAGTACCTCGAGGAGACGAGCGCCGGCAATATTGTCAAGGGCTTCGATAACTACATCAAGGGCGCAGCGACCACGACGACGGCTGGCGGGGCAGGCACAGCGACGCGGCGAAAAGCCCCCATCAACGATGCGGACAGGATATTCAGTCGGAGTTCGACCAGCTTCCTGAGGGTAAGTAGACGAGGGACTGCGACCAGACGGTGCCGCCGCCGCTGACACGGGCTCCCAGGAAACGTCGACACCAGGCTCAGCTACGCCGTCGCACGCGCCTGCGCCAACCTCATCCTTTCCCACGCGCGAGTCGAGTCAACCCACCAACGGCGCCCGGCCGGGAGACGGCAACAACAAGAAGAAAAAGGCGGCCGACGGCGACGAGGAACAAAACAACAAGACGAAGCGACAGAAGATATCGTACGGGCGCGAGTGAGCATGGGGGAAGGCAGCAAATGGTGCTATGGGGGCTGCGCCGTAAGCGGTATTACACACACGAACGCTGGAATCACGAGGCTGACAAAGGCACCATGTATGCGAGCAATTTGCTCGTGGTACAGAGGATTGCGCGTCCTATGGGTCCGGGAAGGCTGAAATTACCCGAGCTACGCACAAATGGGGAAGGTGCAAAAGACGTCGGTTGGCAAGGCCGTAGCTGCGCGCTTTGCAGGCCAGTGGGGGCTGTCCTTTTTTTGAGTGGCCAGGTATAATATGCGGATTTCTGAAACCGTGATAGATCGGGGACATGGGATTGCGGGGTCGGTTCAATCTCGATAGGAGGCCCAGTTAAGGCCAGGAGACAGTTTTAGCGCTGCGTGCTGTTGGCGGGTGACGGTGACGGTGGACCCGTGCTGACTGGCTGGCACTGAGGTGGAGATTAACTTGATGCTTGACTTGTTGCTTGCTTGCTTGGAGCGGTTCAACAAGGTGGCGACGGGGCATTACTTGGCAGGTGGGAAACGCGCAAGCAAATGTCGCTCTCCGACGTTGACGGGCGGCTTCCTCGCTGCCGAAGCGGAACACTTGCTTGACACAGGTTAGCAGCACGTTAGATCGACCCCGGGTGCGGATGCTGAGGACACGATGCGCTCGTCTTGTGAATGGTCAGACGAATTGCATACGGGGGGTTTTTGGGTCTCTCTTGTTTCGCCACTGGATGAATGCAGTTGCGTTGTTGCAAAAATAAATCGTTTGGCATAACATGACCACGCATCTGCATCTATGCCACGCCTCGAGGGGCCGTGCAGATATACATGGGAGTCAAGCTGCAGCATGTCTTATTTCCATATAGCGAGACAGCCCCAACAAGCCATGGGTGAATGCACAGCTGACCACACAGGCTCGTCTGATTGTTTCCAGAAGAATAGCACATATGTGCAGGGCAAGGAGCAGGGCAAGGAGCCAGGATTGAGATTAAACCGCTCGTTTTGACCGCAAGTTGAGACGGTAGCGCGCAACAAGCAGAGCTTTGCAGTCGCATAACACGCCCACCCCCAAGCTTTGCCTCAGGCCAAGAGTGTCACAGTGCCATTCCGGAAAGTAATCACAGCACGCCGGTCCAAGAAAGGCCCCAGGCATAGGCCACTGTGCAAGGGCAAGGGCAAATGCAAATTGGCGCCAGTTTCCCAACAATGACTTGCATGGATGGCTTGACAGTTTGGTTTTTTTTTCTGCGTGCTTGTCCACAGACGCACGAGATTGCAAGTGCAGGCTCCGAGCATGGAGAGGGGCCGGGGCGGGTGGCAAAAGCAACGGCAGCTTGCTTGTAACGGAAAAAGGGTGGGTTGCGGGAAACCTCCCTTACGGAATGCTTGCCTCGGCGGTACTGGCTGCTGCAACCTAACGAGAACAAGAAGGCTCCTCTCCGCTGACCCCAAGTCCGGAGCGGAAGGCGTAGTGGTAGTGTGGCCACGGGCAGCAACGACACCAGGGACCGATCGGGGCATCTGCGTCGTCATGTTTCTGTAACACGACACTTACTGGCGAAACGGTCAGCCCTGTGTTTCGACGGGCCGTGTGAGAGTCGAGTCGTCGCGTCGTTGGTCGGCGATCTTGCCCCGATTGACGGGCAGCAGAGGAGCGAGAGAGAGCTAGCACTAGTAACACGGTAGCCAGCAGCTAGCTAGCTATACCAGACGGTCACGGCCAGGCACGCTGCGATCTCATCTTAGGTAGCTTTTCGGACCGGACCCAGCGCGTGTGACCCACCGGCCACGAGTTGAGCATCGTGATTGGGGGGGGGGCCCGTGGGCCCCAGGTAATCAAGTTCCGCAGCCGATAGGATGCCTGAGACGAGAAGAAAGCCCGACGTCGTCAGCACACACACACATAGACACAGACAGATGAACACACACATACCTGTGCTTTGCATGCACTCGGGCGAGCGAAGCAGCCATCAACTTGGGGCTGCGGGTAGAGCGCCAGCCTCGCATGTGGGTGCCTACGTGTGCGTGCGTGTGTGTGTGTGTGTATGTAGGCGGGACATGGACCAGCTGGAGCCGCGGAACAGGGGGAGTCCAGGTTTGGAGGGGGCCGAAAGACGGGCAGAGAGCAAATGGTAGCGTGCGAGACGACGACAACGGAGCGCAACGACGACGACGACTGGTGAGGAGGAGGAGGAGGCGTGGGAGCGGGAGCAGGAGCAGGAGTGGGAGCCTGAGGCGGCACATGCGCATGGCGTGTGTCGGCAGACATCCCACTCGCCGAGCCATGGCAGAGCCAGTCGAGGTCAACCAAATTTCAGGGTCCAGCAAGTGGCTGCAAGTGGCTGGCAGGGATGCGATGCTGCATGACGAGTGCCAAGCCCTCGCCTTGTCCGGAGCCCACCGCCCACGCCCGTCCAACGCCAAATGATGGCATTGTGAAGGCAGCGTCATGGGCCCTGGTTTCACTTTGGCCCAAAGCGACAAAGGCCCTTTGCCCAATGACGAAGGCACTCGACCGCCTGCTACCAAGTCACGCCTGCCCTCACGCTGGTCGCCCATGCGTGTCGTCACCGTCGTTAAGCGAGCGAGCGAGCGAGAGAGGGCACCCGCACAAGCACCAGCACAAGCACGGCGGCACGGGAAGGGCGCATATGTGGATTTAACAAGGGTCTTTGATTCTGCCGCACTCCAAGTCCACATTATGGAGAAATGCGTCATTTTCTCCCGCTGCTTCAACTCGACTCGGTGTCGTGTAAAAAGCCTACCCTAGCTACTACTGCTACTGCCTATTCGCTGAGTGGCACCTGTATGCGCGCCCCATATCCAAGCTACTGCTAATGTACAAAACGTCATGGTGCGAACCATCCATCGCGCGGAGGGCGTTGGAGAGGCCGTCGCTAAAAGAGAGTCTAAAATATTAAAGGGTATAAGCGAATGATGCCAACCTGCGCTCCATGACGACAGTGGACCAGAGCCTTGTCGAGCGCAGCTGCGGTGATTAGATAGATATTTGCAGGCGGGATAACCAAAAAAAAAGAAAATATAGAAAAAAGTCCAGGCCCAGGGCAGAGTATGCGCGCGTAGTATTACAGTGTTGAGGAAATCGCTCCAATCCGAAGAGGAAAAAAAATAAAACAAACGATACACGTAAAGGCTCGCAAGTCGAAACGCCGAAAAAACGCCATGTGGTGCCCTTGCGTAGGGCACGCGGCCGGGTGGTATCTCAGTAAAAACCAGGAGGATGTGTGCAACGGCATGTAGAAGAATAAATCGTCCGAGCAAGGTGCGGTTCGGTCTATGGTCTTGGCCGAAAAAATGCGCGACGATGGTATCTCAAACATCAGGTGTACTGGACGCGGCCAGTCCAGATGCAAGTCGTAAAGAGCGAGCGCTAGAAAGAACCGACTTTGCTGGTGATTTAGTGGTCGACGCTCTCGGGCGATGGGTGATCGATGCTGCCGTCGTTCTTGTGCACTTTTCGGTGTCTCCTCAGGTTGGAAACAACTGAAAAGTGGCGTCCGCAGCCCTCGACTTCGCATGCGAATGCTGCGGTAATGTTAGAAATGTGCGTAGCCAAAAAAAAAATGGGGGGGTGTGTCAAAACTTACGCTTCTCTCCCGTGTGGCTGTACATGTGTGTTTGAAGAGAACTTGGTCGTGTGAAGCGCTTGTCGCAAATCTTGCACTTGTGCTTCTTTTGCGAGCTTGATGAGACCTTTGAGCTAAATTGGCTCATCATGGAAGCGGGCGCGGGGGGCATGTTTGCGCCGAGAAGGGCGTTGGGGCGAGGCAGGGTGCGCGAGTTGCCCAGGTCGACGGATTCGGAAGCGGAGCTGTAGTCGGTAACCGAGCCTTCGCCGGCGTAGTATCCGTTGGGGCCATAGCTGGCAGACGAGATGGACGAGTGTGCCGAGTGTGTCGAGGGGAAGCCGTATGATTCGGTGGAGCTGCGGCTGGTTCCTTGGGAGCCGTAGATGTTGCGTGGGGTAATGTCCGACTGGCTCAGGGAGACCATGCCGCGGCTAGCATCGAGGGCGTCGCTGAAGCTGTTGCGGGGCTGCTGGCTGTTCATTCTGCTAAAGTCAACAAGTGAACTTTGGCGTTGTCGCTGTGTCTCGAGGGACTCGTAAAAGGCTATGGAGGGGACTGACGGGTGTGAAGAGCGGCGAGAGGCATCCTGCTGGAATGCATATGGGCTCCGTTCTGTGCTGCCATACTCTACCTGTGAGTATGGCGCTGAAGTGGGTGCATACGTTTGGTTCTGGGGAGAGCCAGATGTAGCGTAGCCAGTGGGGTATCCGCGGGCCATGATATCTTCAGAGGGAGCAAGTAAGTTTTGTGATCCGAAGCTGGCGTCCGGGAGAGTAATACCTTGTCCCATGGGCGGCGCTGTGACGGCCATGCCGTGGTAGGGGATGGCGATGCTGGTGGGGCGCTGGGCGTCGACATTGGGGGCGACTGTTGTTTGGTAGAGTTGCTGCTGCGAGGGGCCGGCCGACACCCATGGGTTGGTGAAGTGTGGTTGTTGTTGGGGGTAGCGCATGTGGTCGTAGGCCATGGTGCTCAGCTGCGGCTGTTGGCGATTGTCGACTGCCATTGCCATTGCGGTTACTCAAGGAGGATGGAAGGGAGGGGGGGTTGTGGGCGACGACGGTTGGGGCAAAGGGGACGACAGAGGTGGTACAAGAGAAGAAAGACTGCGTGTCACGACGACTGCTCTGTAGATCCAGAGGGGTGAAACGAGGTAGTCGAGGGTTCGAAAACGTGGAGATGGTCGATCACAGGTACTCTGCGATGGGATCTGCGAGCTTTTGAATTGCCTCTGACACTGGGGACTCGCGTGCAGTGGTATTCCCAGACGAGTAATGATGATCGGGTATGGTATGTCGATCAGTAGACCTGTACTAAGCAGGACCCGTGACAAAGAGGCAGCGAGATTAGGTGTAGGGCGAAGCGGACACCAGCGACCGAGTGGCAGACGCTCGGGCGTTTCAAGTCGAGCGCGGTGCGTGCGTGCTCGGAGGGGGAGGAGAGTGCCCAGCGGGTTGCAGGGGCGGGCTGTGTGGGGTGGGGTGGGTTGCGTGTTGCGTGTCGCCGTGGGAAAAGTTCGGTAACGTTAATTCGCCAGAAAAGCAACGCGGCGACAAAGAAGTAAGGATCAGAGTGTTACGATGATGAAAGCAGTATGGATAAGCTCTGACGGGCGCTTTTTCAGGCTGGCGCAGAGGGTAGGGATGGGGGTGGATGGATGCTGGATTGGGGGGGAGCAGTGGTGCTGATGCTGGAGGCGAGAGGGTTGATCTGCAGCCGTGAGTGGGAAGCCCTCATTGATAAATTCGGCTGCTTGGAGGGTTTACGTCTTTTGGGTTCACAGCACCTCCATCAGAGGCTAGAGGCCAAGCATAGGAGCTGGCACGCTGGCTGAGGACCCCGGACGCACCTACGTCTGCGAGGACAGGGGTGGGGGGTGGTTAGGGTGGTTAGGGTGGTGGATGTGGATGCAGCAGACGCTAAGGCAGCGCTTCGACCGCTGCTTTTACCGCAAGCCATGTGGAGATGGACCAGGAGCCAGGAGAGGGTGGGTGGTGGTGGTAGTGGAGGGGGGAGGGGGGGGACGTTCAGCGACGTGCCCACGGCTGCGTTGCATCCGCGCTATTTGGCACCCTCGTGCTGGTGCTGGTGCTGGGGCTTGCTGGTGCTCGTGCCCGTCCCCTCAACAGCCCGCAGCTGCCGTTGCTTGCCTGCGCGCACGCACGCACACGCCAACAGCAACCGCAACAGCCCCAGCAGCCCCAGCCCCAGCCCGCCAGCCAGCCAGCCCGCCAGTCGAGTCCAGCAAAGCACCAGCACAGCACCATTGCCAGCCCGTCGCCACGGCGCCACGGCCGGCTGCACGCCCACCCGGCTGCGCGACGAACGACGAGCGGCGGGCTTGGGGGGCAGGCAGCGTGGCCGTCACCGTCGCTCGCCCGGCTGCGAATCAGCGGGCGGTAGGCGCGGGAGGGCTTTTGGGCCTTTGTTTTGGCGTGCATCCACCAGCGCTAGCGCCGACGACGCGCATTGAACGAGCCTAGCACCTTCACCCACAATTGCATGCTTCCGTTTTGGGCACGACAACTAGGCCGCATGGGCAGCGCAATGCTCCGCAGCCATGCTGGGCGACACACACACACACACACACAAGGCGACATTCTCTCACCCTCTTCTGTCATCATCCTGGCATGCCTGGCCCCAAAGACGCCCGTCCTCGTCCTCGCCCTCCGCCCCCCCGCTACCTCGTGGGCCGTGCTCCCCTTTTTTCTTTTTTGCCTGGTCAGTGTCCGCCGACTCGACCAAGAGATAGAGAGAGACGTGGACGCGCAAAACCGCGTCGCTGCAGGTTCAACGGTCGCCTAGGATCCAGCAGGCTGCACCAGCAAAGGGACCGAAAAAGCGGCTTCCCAGGCTGGTCAGGCAGAGAGAGGGTGTGCATGGCGCCGGACAGTGGCCGGCGTCGCTGCTTTCGCGTCGCGGAGTCGGTCCGCCAGAGCCCATCTCCACGTCGTTGCGTAAACTCGAACTCTGCGCGCGACTTGGACTTGGCCCTAGCGCAGTTTCCGCCCCTCTCCTGACTCTCCGTCGCGCGCACGGCGTTGGCGTCGTCTGAAGGAAGGAAAAAAAAGGCGCCTCGTGTGAAATTAGTCCCCTGAGGCGGCCGTGCCTGTGCGCCCGCCCCAAGCAATGGTCAAGCGTTTGATCGCCGTCCATGTTGCTTTTGATGCAAGACGTCTAGTGTAGCCTTGGTCACATGGCGGGCTGCCAGTACTGCGTGTAGTGTAGTGTAGGCGTACACGTCAATTTGGGATACTGGCTGGGGGGGGGGGGGTTGACGACGGGCGTGCTCGATGCAATAGGGGAGGGAGGGCTGCAGCGTCATCATCTTGTCGCCGTACCTGCTTCGCCCAGCAGCAGCAGCAGCAACGCTAGACGCAAACCCGGACGGAGGGAGTGAGTGCGAGAGACAGAGGGAGAGCCACTTCTCGCAGCAATCGAGCCATACACACGACGTCTGACGTCGCCATGGCAGAGGAGCGTCATGTGTAGAGTTACACTATAAGACGGACCGTATGTCCCCCAAT